CATGAAGCATGTGTGTGTATACAGTGGGGAAAAAAGAGACACCGAACAGGTAAACACATGTATGAACACCATAATGTCAGGTAGCCCTGAAGACAAGCAGGCAGGATGCTGTTGAAGGTGTTCAGAACAGGCATCCCCAAAATGTGCCAGTTTGGCACATGAATTATTTTGAGCCAAGAGCAATTGATATTCTGTGAGCATACAAGAAACTTTTCCCCTCTCCCTTAAAGAATTTAATTTGGGAACCTGCCCATAATAAGAGGTGTCACCAGAAATAACTTCTTATGACCTATCTATAGGGCAGGACAAACTTCTAATTACTGAACATCTGCTCTTATCATCTTGCTAATGACCTTGCTCCCCTGAGAAGCCCCTAGAGCTTCATCCAGAGCTCAAAATACCATGTATATACCTAATTCTCCCCATCTCTGACTCATGTGTGTGGGGTTTCTGTCTGTCTGTATAAAATTAAATGTGTTTATTTTCATGAGTTAATCTGTCTCATGTTGATTTGATCATTAGACCAGCCCCAAAAACCTGGCAGGGTAGAGATTTTCTTCTTCCCTTGGAGGTGGTGCTGTGAGCAGGACATCGCACTGGCTGGCCACGCCCACCCTCCTGAACACGAAGGGCCTCAAACCTGTGCTGGCAGACAGAGGTGCGAATGTTTGCCAGGATGCACATCTCCACTGGTAGAGTTCAGTGGAAGCAGAGTCCTTCTATTTTTCCTTTTCTAAATTTAGCAGGAGAAAATATTTGTGCAGCTAGTTCCTTGAGCTTAGTGACTTTTGTTATTGGGTACAAGTACTCTTGGTTTTCACAGATCCTTTCCTTCCAGAGACGGGCACGGTTGTGATTGTTGTCTGTTATGTCGCTTGCCTTGGTCTACGGTTTCTTTTTCTTTTTTTTAGACTTTATTTATTTATTTTTAGACAGAGGGGAAGGGAGGAAGAAAGAGAGGGAGAGAAACATCAGTGTGTGGTTGCCTCTCTCGAGGTGCCTCCTGGGGACCTGGCCCACAACCCAATCATGTGCCCTGACTGGGAATTGAACTGGTGACCCTTTGGGTCTCAGACCAGCGCTCAAGGCACTGAGCCACACCAGCTAGGGCACCTTGTTCTATGTTTTGAAAGCTTGGTTTTGACTTCCTCTTTGGTCTCTGCTGTTAGAATGTGTCCGTTTCAGTGTGCATTTATTTGACAGCCAGTCAAATAGATTAGGGATTCATATTATAACTTTTGCACTTTGTCAGCAAGAAAAATAGGTGGAGATGATGAAATTTTCATAAGTAATCTAAACATAGTTAAGAAAAAAGTTAAATAGATGTAAAGAGAAGAAAAGGGTTTTAGGTGCACTCTTGAACACTCTTTATACATACTTGAAAATGGTTCCCTAAATGCCTTTGATAACCTGAAACTTTAAAGTTTTGCTAAATTAAATTAGGTGATGGAAAGTCATGTGACTATCCATATCATTTCCAAATAAGATAAAATAACAAAATCTTAATTACTGAATGTAGATTTACCTAGTTCTGGCTTCCTATTACAGAAAAACTAAAGACATTTGGGCCATTAGTAAATGTGTCTTGTGCTTCACTGAAAGATTGTACTATGAAAAAGCATATCATTCTAGAATTATGGAATGTATTTATGAGTTTATTGATCTAAAGAGTACTGGTGCAACAGTTTACAACTACTTCTTAGTTTTCACTAGAAATTAAGATTCCTAAGGGTTAAAATTCTAATTAGTATAGAAGGAAGTAACATATATTTTCAGTAATAGAAAATATAAGTATGAAATACATTTTTGTCCTAAAATAAGTTGGTTATTTCTGAATGGGTAAGAGAACAAGAGACAAATTAAAAGGAACAAAGAAAGCTGTAGAAGGTCTGTAAAAAGAAATCTTGAGAAAGAAATTGTATGTGTGATCAAGCTAGATAAGAATGAATACATTTATTGGAAATGTTTTATTAATAAAACAAAAAAGCTTATCTATCCATAGTGTACTAAAACTTAATGGTCTCTCACCTGAAGGACAGTTTTCTTGGACAATTGGTCTGCTCCTGAAGAGATACTATGAAAAGTTTTCTGCTGAAGAAGCAAAGATTTTGTGTTTTATCAGAATAACTTTGTTTTATGTTGTCCTAATCAGGTCTTTGATTACTTAAAAAAACTGGACTTTTTGTATCTGAAATTCCCTAGCTGACTTTCACACTAAGGCAGCAGCAACAAAATCTACAAAGACTGTGGCGCATGTGGATGAAGTCCATTCTGCTTCTGTGAAAATGACCCCTCAGCCCTGGCCAGGTAGCTCATTCGGTTAGAGCACCATCCTGATACCCCACAGTTGCAGGTTTGGTCCCTAGTCACATACAAGAAGTAACCAATGAATGCATAAATGAATCAATAAGTGGAAAACAAATCGATGTTTTTCTCTCCCTTCTTCTCTCTCTCTAAGAGAAAATCAATAAATAATGATACCTCAATGCCAAACTTTTACCATCTTGATGCTCATGTGACATAACAACAGTCTGATCCTGAATCAGAGAACCTAAAATGGGTAAACAATGCCCATAAATAAATGCATAGTTGGGGCTATGGGATTCTACTAGGCTCCCTTGCAAAACCCATTTTTTTTTTGTTTTTGTTTTTGAGTCTCTTCATCTACCACAGTGCATTTAAACTGGCCTGCACTAACTGCCACTTAGTACGGGTTATCAGTATGTTCTTCTTGTAGTAGGTATACCTACCAGATGGATTGAAGACTTCCCCTTGTAGTAGGTATACCTACCAGATGGATTGAAGACTTCCCCTGCCACAAAGCTGATACCTTCACAGTGGCAAAGTGTTAGAAAATGTGTTTCCCATGTGGGATACACCTTCCACAATCTAGTGACCGAGGCACCCACTTCACTGAGCAAATCATAGAAGCCTTGACGGGAAGTCGTACAAACTTCTTGAAACTGTCACTGACCCTTCCCCACCCCATCATCAGGCCATGTCTAGAAAACTAATGGAAACACTGGATCCAAGCAGACCGAGTCTTAATTACCTGAGACTGAATGAACTGATGAGGGTGATTACAATTTTTATGACTTTTTGTTTGAACTATTGCTAGCTCTTTAATTTTTTGGTTTTTCCAGATAGAAGGAAAACTTTTCTTTGAAACTATAACTTACTACAATTTGGTAAATTATACTTTTGTAAGCAGAATTGCAACATCTTTTTCCCCTACTTGATCCCTTCAGAATTCAAAAATTCTCAGTGACTTTGTCAGTATTCTTATTTTCAGAGCACTACTGTTATTTGCCTAAGTTCAATAAGAATCTTTTCTCTTTGCAACAGGACACATTTGGAAACTGGGTATCTTACAGATGCAGGAACCTGAAGATATTTTGAGGACCTCAAGAAGAGAAGAATTAACCCAGTCTAAAGGTATTGCAAGCAAAGTCTGATGGCAAGTCCTTGGCTTGACTCTTCTGGCCTCAAGAGGCCATTTTAAGTTCAATGTGTAGATTGCTTATGAAAAATTCCAGAAAAGCAGGTTTAAATGAGCCTATGTGATCAATTGCTGTTCTTGTTGTAATTATACAAATAACAGGCTGAGTTTATGAAACCAGATTTAACTTGCAAACAAATTAGTATTAATTTGGCTATCCGGTAAAAAAATGGAAACGATTTTAGAGAGGAAATTATGTTTCATTAATACACCTTTGTGGATATTAGACTCCAGTGCTATTCATTGTCTTTTGAGGTTTTTGTTTTCTACCCATAAACTGGACTGGATGCTGAATTCTCATTTCTCCTAGTATCTGGCTATGACTCTGCAAACTCATGTTCCCATTTTTTCTGTCATCTTTCCGACTTGTAGCCATTGAGAACTAAAACTGCCCTTTTCCCAAATCCATGCAGCTGAAGCATGACAACTTAGTATACACTTCAGAGAAATCACCACCAGACAGACATCTAGAAATCTTCTCAACTGGCTGCTTTGAGAACTCAGAAATGGGGCGATAGTCTGTTCTAATCATTAACCATTGTTTTTCTTTTGTTTACAAGGAGATGCCTCTTATTAAATACTTGATTGCTTGCACTCTAGGCCTTGGTTTGGGAGCCCACCTGCATCAGTGTCTCCTGAAATGAGGCACAACTGTTTAATTGAACTGACCTAGTCTCAAGACTGAGACTGGTTTAGTGAGATATGGAATCACCTATCAAACCCAAGCTCTGGAATATGGAACTTCTCAGGAAGTTTACAATGCAGGACTAAAGTTGTAAGTCAGAACTGGCTCCTATGAGATAGACCATGGTGGCACAGGAATTATTTTGAACTGAAAGCAATCGAGACCCTGTGGGCTCAGGAGAAATTTTTACCCTTCTCCCTTAAAGAATTTAAATTGGAGGCCTGGACCATAACAAGAGTTACTCCAGAAGTAACCTTTACAACCTATTTGTAGGGCAAGCAAACACCTAATTACTGAACGTCTGCTCTTCTTATTGTCCTGCAAATGATCCTCTTCCCCTTTGAAGCCCCTAGGCATCTTACCTCATCCTTAGCTCAGAATTGTCATTACACCTCATTTTAACTGTCTCTGAACCTCTCATGTATGTGGAGTTTCTATACATATTATCATTACATTTATTATTTTTCTCTTGTTAATCTGTCTCATGTCAATTTAATTGTTAGTTCAGCTGAAATAAAGTTTCTTTCTCCCCTACAGAGCCTAGACACTAGGGAACTTTCCAGAAATGCCACTACCATGTAAATAGGGGGATGATTGTATTTTGTTTTATAAAACTTTGCCAAATTTTGCTCATCCTTCCGGAAAATCCCATCATCCATAGATACTACTGCACCTGTCGCTGTCCGTGCCTGGTAATTCCACGGTGATGCCCCAGTATTCTGAAAACTCCAGAATGTTTCCTCCTGTATTTGGGCCCAAATATTTACATATTGCTACATCTATTATATCATTACAATTTATTTCATGCCATTTTTTTTACAATTAAGCAATATATTGTTTGTTCACATTATGCATATGGGTGTGTTAAATTATCTATGGGTTTTACTCGGGGGAGGCGAGCTGTTTGCAAGACCATTGGAACGGCCAGAGGCTCTTGAGTCTGCACAGCAACCCCCTCCGCCGCAGAGCGGTCCTCCGCACGCCAGGGGTCGCTGTAGCACAGCGCGGCCGCGCCAGGTCTCTCTCGCGTGGCCGCCCCGCCTCGGGCCCCCGGGCGGAGTGGGCGGGCAAGACTGCGCCCAGGTCGCGAGGCGCCCTTCGACCAGCAGCGCCCGGGGCGGGTATAAATGGAGCGGTGGCTCCTCCAGCCGCCTCTCTCCGCCCCGGGTCGCCGCAGCTTGTGCTGCTTTCGGGCCCTGCAGCCTGAAGAAAAAAAGAGAAAAAGATAAAAAAAAACCCGAAAACGCTTTAAAATCTGAAAAAAAAAAAAAAAAAAAGAGAGAAAGAAACAGCGAATCCTCCTCGGAGAACCCGCGGGGAAGTCACTTTTGCACGCTTCCGGCCTGCCCGCGCTCACCGCCGCCGCCGCCGCCGCCACCACCACTGCCGCCGCCGCTACCGCACCTGGTCGTCTATCGGCCCCGGTCTGTCGGTCTGGTGGTGAGCCGCCCGCGTCCACGCGCCTCCGCTCCTGCCGTCCGTCTGCGCCGCGTGGCAACCCCGCGCCCCCGCCCCCCGCGCGCCTGCCTCCCCGCGCACCACGTGTCCGCGCTGCCCTTCGCGGCCCGGCGTGGAGGCGGCTGCGCGCTTGGTCCCCGGGGCTCGCCGAGCCGGTACAGATAGATATTTTGTATCCCTCTTCCCTGGCTGCTGTAACCTTAAACCGCCAGGAGCCCAAGGCCTATATTTATAAGGAAACGCGTGTCTCGGAGGCCGCGTGGGCACCATTTGGTTGTCTCTTCAAGAATTTTTATAATTTGGAGGGAAATCCCCATTTTAACAGATTTGTTTTTGAGATTTGGAGATTCAGACCAGAACAGCTGGAAATTACAAACTCCCAGGGTGGGCCATATTGTTTTTGAGAGCCTTTTGTCTGCGGTCCTGCAGTCTCCAGCGAGCCGCCCCCGAACTCCTCTGTCCCCCTCCTGTTTCTGAGCCTGCTCCAGCTTCTCAGCTGCACTCTGCCACCTGTGAGCCGCGGCGCGGCCCCGGCTTCGAGAAGATCCCCCTTTTGTCTTGTGTGGTCCCTGTAAGAAGTCCTGGCGGGGCTTGGGGTGGTGGGGGCTGGGGAGATGAACGCTGCGGCCAGCAGCTACCCCATGGCCTCCCTCTACGTGGGTGACCTGCACTCGGATGTCACCGAGGCCATGCTGTATGAAAAGTTCAGTCCTGCGGGGCCTGTACTGTCCATCCGGGTCTGCCGCGATATGATCACCCGCCGCTCCCTGGGTTATGCCTACGTCAACTTCCAGCAGCCGGCTGACGGTGAGTAGAAGGTGTCCACAAATTCTCGGTATCCCTGGGGGCCCTAGGAGCCATCCTCCGGGCAGGTCCCTTACCCACATGGAGGAGGCATCACGACAGCACGTTGCCACAGAAGCCATAGTGGGGAACAGGATGCAGGGGTTGGGAACACGGGATCCTGGCATCAGATGACCAGAGTTTCAGTCTTGTTTCCACCACTTGCTAACTGGGTGACCTTGGGCTAATCAGTGGTGGCAGTGCGGTTGGAACCCAGAGATACTAAAACAGCGGTTTCAGAGGGAAGTCATGGTCATGCTGTGGTGTGTGTGTGTGGTTCTGCTCCCATGCACTGGTCTATTAGACCTTTGCTGGTGAGTGGGCATAGGCTGGTGCCCCTCACAGGCCTGCCACAAAGGACAATTGAGACAAAATTCCTGGAAAAATTTTGGATTGCCAAGCTGGTGTCCCTTCCCCTACATTTACACTGGAATGAGAGTCTGTTTGATTTAATGCCGATAAAGGTCTTTCAGGGCAGGTAGGAAGCAGGGGAATAATTCGGTGCATTGAACTTGAGCAGGCACTTGTGTGAGCACCATCAGAGCATTGTGTGCCAGGCCAGCTCCCTGGTCTGGGTATTTGCCACTGGGCTGAAGGAGTTCTTCGCTTTGGAAGAAGCCCTGGGATGTGGAGAATGGGTCTCAAGGTAGCCTGGGGAAGCACTGACTCCGCTGAGCTGGCTGGTGGGGGTTATTGTCTCACCTGTGAACAGTGCTCTATACATGTCAGGACCCTTTTAACACATCCTATCTGAAGAAAATGGGACTCCTTCGAAGGAAAAGTGGCTGCAGAAGGTGGGAGACTGAGCTGGGACTGCCAGTGCAGTGCTCTGTGAGCCTACACTGGGCCTTAGCTTGGAGCAAGGGAGTGGGGAGGTATGCTGCGGGCGCGGTGGCCGGAGGCAGGCCAGAAGAAACCTAATCAGGGGCTGCACGTGACTCCAGATTAAAAAGGAACAACTGTAGAGATCATTACTGGGAGAAACAAGCCATTCCGTGGTGAAGGATTGCCAGGTCCCTATTTTTGTCTCCACTTTATTTGCTATCCGTGAAGCACACAGAATGTTGTCACTTGCCCAGGATGCAGCTGCGACCATAGCATTGGACTTACTGAGATTCCCAAGGCTACTCCCATCAGTTCATTGTGCTCCGAGCCAACATGTGTTTGGCCACAGGCTCAGAGAGGGTTGCTGAGTGTGACCATTTTAGGTGGGAGTAGTGGTACGTTGGCTGTTGCCTGCTTTCCTGATTCTCCCTAACAAAAGTCCTGTCACTTAGAGATAGGAGCAGAAACCACTGGTCAGTGTGTCTGCCAACACATACCTCTGCAGGACCTCTCCCTGCTATAAATAAGTGCAGCCCGATTTGTCAGACTAAGCTGACTTGCCTTCTGCAGCACCGTCTGGAAATAGAAGAGGAGCCGTGTTGAAATGAGTTCCTTCGCTGCTAATTGATGAAACACAGGTTGGGGTCCCAGGCTTTCGGTCTGTGCTGGCGACTAGTGCCAGCTGGAACTGTCCTGTGCCTGGCCTCTTCCTGACTTAGATCTGTCCCGTTTCCCATTTCCTGACCTCCTCCCCTCCCACACTGAGGGGCCCATCAGAGGAAGGTGGGAAAGGTGGTTGGAGATATGTACTCCCTTGGCTGGCTTGTGGAGGGCCAGTAAGGGAATTCCCCCCTCCTTTTTAAAATTTTTATTATTTTTTAAGATTTTAATTTTTTTTTTTAAGAGGAGAAAAGGAGAAAGAGAGGGATAAAAACATAAGTGGTTGCCTCTTGCACACCCAGCACTGGGGACCTGTCCCAAAACCCAGGCATGTTCCCTGACTGGGAATTGAAATGGTGACCCTTTGGTTCCCAGCCCAAGCTCAATTCACTGAGCTACACCAGCCAGGGCCTTGTCCCCCTTTGAAGTAGGGTGGTGTCCAGAGGCAGGAAAACCCACCCTACCCCCCATCCCTTCATAGAGGACATTCTGGGTGATCTTTCATTGCATAAGTCAGAGTAAGTGGCCACCAGCTCTCTGGGTCCTTTACCAGTGAAGGGAATTGCTCCTTACTGCAGGTGATGATATATTTTAGCTTCTGGCCCTTTAAATGGTCTCCATGGTGCCCACACAGGGATCTGGTTGGGAGAACTTGGGTGGACAACAAGGCATTTGACGGCCTAGACACCAGCAGGTGCAGGGCTTGCCTGCACTGTCTCCTTAGGCAGAAAGGTGTGGCAGTTTTATCCTCCTTGTCTCGTAATACAAAGAACATTTCCACGTGTGACTGTTAATATTTATCGTTTTGATGATTGAGGGTTTTTGTCTGAATCAATTTCTGTTCTCAGAAACTAAAAACATAAACCGGGCTGAATTCAGGGATGGCACATTCTCAATCCAAACCATTTGCTCACAGTTTGGTTTTGTCATTTGTGTCATAGTGGTAGTGTATACTAAATGGTCCTACCCCCCAAAAAAATAAATAAAATCTTGAAAAAATGATTTTAAAAGCTTAGTCAAGAAATAAAAAAGGGGGCTCTGTTGTGAGTGGCACACGTAGGGCAGCTCGATTGCTCCACATGTGGAATTGACGTCCAGAGATTTCGGAAGCGTCATTTTTTGGTACCTGGGCAGCTAGTGGTTGTTAAGGAAAAATCAAAAAAATAAAAGCTTAGTCAAATAAGAGGTGCAGCAGTCCCCGTTTATTTGCTGTTTTGCTTTTTTTGTGGTTTTAGTTAACCTGTGGTCAACCATGGCCCCCAAAATACTAATAGAAAATTCCAGAAATCAGCCATTTGTAAGTTTTATATTGCATGCCCTTCTGGTTAGCATGATGCAGTCTCTCGTCATGCTGCCTGCGACGAGTCATCCTTTGTCCAGCACATTCGTGCTGGACACACTACCCGCCAGTCGGTCAAGTCGCTGAATGGCCGTCTCAGTTCGGACCAACTGTGGTATCGCAGTACGTGTGTCCTGCTGCCCCTTATTTTCTTCAAGGATGAGGCCCCGAAGCACAGCAGTAGGGACGGGGGCAATTGAGATATGCCCGAGAGAGCCCGGAAGGACTTCATTTAAGTCAAAAGTTGAGTATAGAACAGCAAGATTTTGAGATAGACCACATTCTTACAAGTTTTGTTATAGTACATTGTGATAATTGTTCCATTTTATTATTTTGTTAATCTCTCACTGTGCCTAATTTATAAATTAAGTTTTATCACGGATATGTCTGTATAGGAAAAAGACTACGCATATATGGTTGGTACAATCGCAGTGTCAGGAGTCCACTGAGTGGACACACACTCACTCTCTCTCTGTATTATCATGTCATCCTGGTGCCATAAGGCCACTTGGACGATCTCGCCTGACCCGTGCACCTTATGCATAGGTGCATATGTTACACCTTATGCAACAAGGTTGCAGACCGGGGGGGGGGGGCTGAGGCTTCGGCCATAAAAGTAGATTAATTGGATAGAACTTTTTCTAACCCTCAGTAGCAATGCAGGCTAGAGAAATCTGATGCCCTTTAAGAGTTGCCTTTTTTTTTTTAATTGTTCAAGTATAGTTGTCTCCATTCCCCCCCCCACACACACCATTCCCAAGAGTTGAAAAGTCCTAGAGTGACTTTTTCCTATGGTGGTGACAGTCACCTACATGATGTGTTTTTTTTATATATATATATATATATATATATATATATAATAATATATATATATATGTTAGATTTCATTTACTTTTAGAGAGAGGAGAAGGGAGGGAGAAAGAGGGAAAGAAACATCCATTGGCTGCCTCCCACACGCCCCCAACCGGGGACCTGGTCTGTAACTCAGGCATGTGCCCTCACCGGGAATTGAACCAGCGACCTTTTATTTTAGTTCGCAGGCTGGCGCTCAGTCTGCTGAGCCCCACAAGCCAGGGCAGGTGTTTTACATCCTTGATTGAAATGTGCTTCTCTCTTGCAGCTGAGCGGGCCTTGGATACCATGAACTTCGATGTGATTAAGGGGAAGCCAATCCGCATCATGTGGTCTCAGAGGGACCCTTCTTTGAGGAAATCTGGTGTGGGAAACGTCTTCATCAAGAACCTGGACAAATCTATAGATAACAAGGCACTTTATGATACTTTTTCTGCTTTTGGAAACATTCTGTCTTGCAAGGTAAATACCGATTAAATGATTTCGGCAGAATGATTACCACATCCTGAAAACAAAATAAATACTAAATGGGGCATTGCCTTAGAATTGAGTGACAGTGTATGGTGATCTTCAAAATGCTGGAAATGGCTCTTAAGGCACATAGGCCCCTGTAGGTAATCTCATGCCATCAGCTAATAAAACTGGCTGGTGCTTTTGTATCTTTGTTCTTCCCTCTGTGTGAGAAATATCCTTCCTGTCTCCTAACTTTGGAAAGCAAGGAAAGGTTTCTCTTGGGGGTGGCGACCCAGAGCAGGGCTTCTGGTTTCCAGGAAGCTGCATGTAGTCATTTTAGAAGCATAAATTCCCTCTCTTCCTTTTCTGTGTGCCTGTTTATGTGGAGAATTGTATACAGCTTGTGTGGCGGTTCACCTGTCTGGCTCCACAGCACACTGCAGTTCTGTTGTGGACTTGCAGAATGGTTTGTCTATGGCACTGGTTTCGTGCCTATATCTCCACTTTTAATGAAGAAAACATTTGGAATAGAAGCAGCCTAATAGTGGCTACCACTTGTAAATGCACCATTACTGGGCGCCTCGTGCTGTGCAGGGTGTTAGAAAAACCTTACCTACCCAGTCCCTGCTGTTCCAGTGCGGTCAGGTTGGAGGCCTCAGACAGCGGAGGCCCCAAGTAAGAGACCACGTGGTGCTCGAATCTCTGGGGCTGCCCAGTGGCACTACAGTGGCCTGCCTTGTCTTTGACAGGTGGTGTGTGATGAGAACGGCTCTAAGGGTTATGCCTTTGTTCACTTCGAGACCCAAGAGGCTGCAGACAAGGCCATCGAGAAGATGAACGGCATGCTCCTCAATGACCGCAAAGTGTGAGTGTCCCAGTCCGGAGCAACAGCCATCGCATGAGCCAGCCTGGCCCCACCTCGGTATTAACTGGCACACACAAGGCGGCTACTGGTTCTCTCGGCCCAAGTGTGGCCTGCTCCTACCTCTCCACTCCAGGGCTGGTGAGTCTCCCTGCCGAGCCATGGCAGCCCTTTTGACTCGCCAATGTGGGCTTCCTGCCCAAGCCATGGCCTGCCTGCCGCCTCTCCCTTAAAAGCATACATCTCTGGGTTTTGTGAGCATTGGCAACTGGGGCTGGCTGGAGGACGGCTCTAAGCTCACTCTGAGCAGGGGTCTTGGCCAGTGGCAGAGTGGAGAGGGCCCTGGACTGACCAGGAGCTGTATACTAGCCACGTGCGTGACCTTGGTCTCTCCATGCGGTCACTCACTAGGGGTTGATGCCAAATTGTCCCCAGACCTCCACTTACCTAACTTATGGCTTTGGTGGCTTTCTAACTCAAGGCTGGCTCCACAGTAATACTTAATTTGGTTACCATGAGAAATCTCATCCCATTGCAGAAGATGCTGTTCATAACACATCTTGTTACTTTGCAGTGGTCATTGCATGGTGGACAGATGGGGACCGTAGCTGAACCATGCAGGGAGGGGAGAAGGGACACTGAGTCTTGGCTCTTACAAGCAAAAATCCTTTCTGTCCTTTGTGTTGTTGAACAGACCAGGAGATGGCCTCATTAATAATGTGTATGTGCCCAGTTGTCAAGTCTCCCAAAGGTATCAGTAGAAAGAAATCTTAAGATACTCCAAGTTGGGATACATTCCTATTAATTGTAAACAACACTGAAGTGAATAAAGTGAAAAAAAGGTGGTGCACTCGAGCAATTTCACTCCTCAGATTAACCACTGTTAACAGTTTGGTTTGTATCCTTTCAGACCTTTTCTATGCATTTACATAGATGCACAGAAATGAACGTTTAAAAAACGTGGTCGTCAGGTTTCTTCACGAAGGCAGTGTGATGTGGTAGGAGTAGCCTGGTCTGAGCCAGGAGCCCTGGGGCTGGTTCCCGCAGGATGGTCCTGCCTCTCTTCTTTCTCTTCTCTGTGGGGAGTTGGGCATCTCTGAGCTTGCTCCGTCGGTGGTTGGATTGGGACTCGTGTTTTAACCTTGCCTGTCAGCCTTTAACCTGCATTCCTTTGAGCCCCTGGAAATCATGTTTTGTTCCTCTGGGTAGTCACTGCTTTTCATTCTTCTTAGGTTTGTGGGCAGATTCAAGTCTCGAAAAGAGCGAGAAGCCGAGCTTGGAGCCAAAGCCAAGGAATTCACCAATGTGTATATCAAAAACTTTGGGGAGGAGATGGATGACGAGAGTCTGAAAGAGCTGTTCAGTCAGTTTGGTGAGTTGGGTCCTTTGCCCCCGTGTCCTCGTGCACAGTCCACCACGCCTGGAATTCTTATGTTTTCATTTACGAGAAGAGGGCACCTAGACCCAGAGGTAAAATACCTTGCATGACAAGGTCGTAGGGTAGGTAAGAATAGCCTCCAGGCCTTGGCTCTTGGCTCTAGCCTGCCTAAGCCAAGCTCCAAGGCCATCTCGGCAGCCTGGTCGGGATTAGAAGGCCAGGCACGGTGCCCCTCTCTCAGTAGTCCATCCGGTTTTGGCAAGAGGTTGCCTCAGGTGGGCTCCCGGAGAAGCCTCTGTCCTTGAGCTGTGGTGGAGATGGTGTTACTAATAGTTCTGTCCTTTGGTGTAACAGGTAAGACCCTAAGTGTCAAGGTGATGAGAGATCCCAATGGGAAATCCAAAGGCTTTGGCTTCGTGAGTTACGAGAAACACGAGGATGCCAATAAGGTGAGAGTACCACGTGTGGGAAAGTTTTTGTAGGAAGTGGTCCAAGAGTGCGGGCAGGGCCTGGATAACACAGTGGAGCTGGGATTACCTGGGTGTCTAGTATCAATGCACAGTTACTGTATTCTGGAATTGCCTTCTTTGGGGTTTTACATGTTAATATGTTAGTTAACTGTTTTCAGAGCACTTGGCACAAACCTCTCACCTTACTTAGCTGCTCAGCCTTGTAGGTTGAAAATAGGACAGGTGTTTGTTCCCATTCATAGGCGAGGGTACTAAGGGCCAGAGTTGTTGATTTGATAACAAGAGAACGGCCACTTTGGGGGGAAGCCTTATGCTAGGCCCTTGAATGTATCACTTAATACCTGCAAACGAACCTGAGAAATCTAGTGATCCTGGATCCAGGTGATCCAGCTCATGTCTGCTGTGCGTGTATTTATACAACTGTGGTGTTTTTTCTCTGTGTTATCTGGGCCGGTAGCTCATCTAAACATTAGCCCCATTTTATTCATAAGGAAGTTTGGATTTGCTTAGCTGGCTTCAGGGACGGTATGATGTTGGTGTTTAGCACTAGAGGGAAGATTTCTCTCTCAGGATATTTGGTGAGACTTAGAGACCCCCCCAGAGCAAGGCCCCTGCCTCTGTATCTTGGTTTTTTGTTTTTTTTTTTTAAACAATTTTTAAAGTTGTTTTTCAAGTACAGTTTTCTGCCTTTTGTGTCTTGTTTTAAAGATGTGTATTTATTTCTTCTTTAGGCCGTGGAAGAGATGAATGGAAAAGAGATCAGCGGGAAAGTCATTTTTGTAGGCCGTGCACAGAAGAAAGTGGAACGGCAGGCTGAGTTAAAACGGAAATTTGAACAGCTGAAACAAGAGAGAATTAGTCGATACCAGGTGAGAGGTGGTCTTGGCACAGCACCCACATGTTGGGCAGGTTTTGGGGGACTTGGGGCACCATCGCCAGGTTTAAAAGGATATGCCTACCAGGGACCAAAGAGATTAGCTTACTCATTTAGAGACTTCCAGAAGCCTCGGTCTTTTTTCAGTCCCACGGGTTCCTTTTACTTAAATGACGCCCATCGTCCCATTGGAATGATGGCAGGAAGAGCCCTGAGGGGGCGTGTGGTCAGCCAGAGCAGCTGTGAAGGAAGAGGGTCGTAGCATATGATGCACTGATGCTCCTATCAGAACCTCAAGGAGGTAGTTTCTCAACTTTGAGATGCATCAGAATCCCATGCAGGGCTTGTTAAAAGCTGGTCCCCAGAGTAGTTCCTGATTCACTAGGTTTGGATTCTGGCCTGAGAAATTTGCATTTCAAACAAGTACCCAGAGATGCTGTGGCTGCTGGTCTGGGGCCCACACTTTGAGAACTACTGTCCTAAAGCATATATGGGGTATAAAAGAGCAACTAACCGTGATCCTTCTGCTGTAGGGGGTGAATCTGTACATTAAGAACTTGGATGACACCATTGATGACGAGAAGTTAAGGAAAGAGTTTTCTCCTTTTGGATCCATCACCAGTGCTAAGGTACTTTCTACTGAGATATTCTGGGATTGAAAGCAGAAGTTGTGATCTTTTAGCAAGTTACTGGTATTTGCTTCGTCGACGGAATAGGATCTAAATTGCGTTCATTTCTGATGATAGCTGCCACATTCATCTCACCGATTCCTCCTGGCATTCGATTCGCCGTCTGAGTGTGTGCCCTGGAGAGCGACAGTTCATTAGGTTGTTACATCACTGTCTCCTAAGGCCTGGGGTATGGAGATAAATCGGACCCAGTCCCTCACTGCCGGCCCCCAGAGCACCTGAATCTTTCCCATTCTTTGCTGCTTCGTGCTGGTGTGGGGACAGATGGTGCCACAGTAAGAGCAGAGGAAATCCAGACGGGTGTTTGCCATTTGTCTTGGGGCCTGTCTCTACAACTCTGCCACACGTCGTAAACGAAAGGGATTTTGAGGATTTTAGAACTGGGGTGGGAACTTCAATCCTGGTAGAAGGAGGAAAGAGCGGGAAGTTTGTTTTTCCATGTTTTGCCATATGTGTCATTTGCTTGGTTTTCTTTGATAGTCAAATGAGCTGAGCTAGAAGGGTGAGCAAGTGTGAACCCCATTTTAAAGTCAAGGAATTTGAGTCCTTGAGCAAGAGAATGCTGGTTACACGAAGAGAGTATACTGTGTGTCCTTGGCACTTGGGGAGTGTGACAGGATCTGGAGGTTTTGGGTTGTAACCTGTTGCAGACACCAGCCCTGCTCAGCAGAGGTGCAGCAGATGTCACAGAGTCCTTTAGGTGATGAGAAAGGAGGCCATCTAGGCAAGTAGACTCCAGGTGACCCTGCCCTGGCCCTTGGCTTAAGTCACCTACAAAGTGGGAGTGTCATCGTCATAGCGGGTGTCAACCAGAGGCTGCCCTGCAGGGTTTCTCCAGCTGCTCACCGCTGTCTTCCAGTCACCCCCTTGACTGGCCCCCATCAGTGCAAGGGGCGCCAGTCTCTCCTTGCCTACCTGGGCAGTAGTGCAGTTGGCATTTGCAGGAAGGGCGCAAAAGAACCACATCTTGAAGTTTAATAGTAGGTATCATTGCTTTTTCTTTTTTAAATTTAATCCATTGTATTTTTCTCATTACCATTTAGTCCCCTTACACCTCCTCCTCCCAGCAATCACCACACTGTTGTCCATGTCCGTGAGTCCTTTTTCCTTTTTGGCTCAATCCCTCCACATAGGTGTCACTTTCATGGTCAAGGTGTCTTGTTCTTACCTGGTGTAGGGAGTTACTGGGTTGATACATATCTTTACTTCCACGTCCTCCACTTCAGGAGGCTCTCCAGGCAGTGAGCTAAGACACCAAAGGGTGCCAGACACACATTCATATTGCTACCAGTGGTTCTGAAGAGACAGGCTAGGGAAAGCAATGAATAACATTTTCAGGTGAGGAAAGAGCCATTTGTGAAATACTAACTATAGAAAACACCCCCTGAACTGGTAGACCGTGCTGTGTTGTAGCTATTTGCCTCATGAAGCTCAGGCTCAGAGAGGGCAAGTAAGTGTTTTGTTGATGTTGTAGAGTTTAGACATTTCAGAGCTGGGACTAGAATCCAAGCTTCTCCCAGCTAGTCATTTTTCTGCAGTTACTCCCATTGAATTAATGATGAGAGTCATTGGTTTTAACTCTTTCTCACATGTGGTATTTCTAGAGTATATCCTATCTGTGCTCTGTGCTGAGAGCTTATTAAATAAGTTTCGTTCACCATAGTCTTGTGCAGATAAATTTTACAATTAAATTGCTTGACTCTGCTGTCCAGGTCTCTTGTGTGAGTACCCAGAGGTAGCTATGCTGCTAGGTACCAGGAAACATCTTTTGGTTCCTCGTTTAAGCATTACTCATATCACAGTGTTTGGGAACTTTAGAATTTAGCCAAGGAAATGTCTAGGTCCTACTCTTAGAAGTTGTGACTCAGTTGGTCTGGGATACATCCTGGGACAGGGCGGAGAGCCCCTCTCCTAGACATGGTGACTCTTTCAGAAGAACCCGGTTCTTCTGGTGGCGAATGGCTGCCGGGACATAGAACGCCTTTTTCTTGAGCTGGTCGTCTGTTGTAGGTGATGTTGGAGGACGGGAGAAGCAAAGGGTTTGGCTTTGTCTGCTTCTCATCTCCTGAAGAGGCCACCAAAGCAGTCACTGAGATGAATGGACGCATCGTGGGCTCCAAGCCCCTGTATGTCGCTCTGGCCCAGAGGAAGGAAGAGCGAAAGGCCCACCTGACCAACCAGTATATGCAGCGGGTGGCCGGAATGAGAGCACTCCCTGCCAACGCCATCTTAAATCAGTTCCAGCCTGCGGCTGGTGGCTACTTTGTGCCTGCAGTTCCTCAGGTGGGTCTGCCGTATGTTCATGGCTGTGGAGCCTGCCCACTGATAGTGGCTCCTCTAGTGGTTGGGAGGAGGGGGTCTGGGATATCAGAGTTCAGAACATAAGGGTAAGGGTCCTTCAGATAAAAGGAGGAGGGACTTACCACATGGGCATACCCAGAGTGGGAGGGATGGAGTAAAAGAATGCCCAGTAACTGACCTTCCTTATCCCAAGCTTTTGAGCGGAGAGTGCCTCCACCTGAATTAGCCATGGCCTGGTAGGGAGATGAGATGAGATCATTCTCTAGTGTGGACTTGAGTCCTTAAAATAAAAGGGCTTGGGTGGTGCTCTTTCTTACAGGCTCAGGGAAGGCCTCCATATTACACACCTAACCAGTTAGCACAGATGAGACCTAATCCACGCTGGCAGCAAGGTGGGAGACCTCAAGGTAGGTGGTGGGGAACAGGGATTTGATCACTGTGATCTCCTTCCTCTACTGCCTGCCTCCCTCGTGTGAAGTGCAGCGTAGGTTCTGGTCCACATCATTCATCTGTGATGTGCAATTTTTGTCTTTCTGCCAGGCTTCCAGGGAATGCCAAGTGCTATACGCCAGGCTGGGCCTCGTCCAACTCTTCGCCATCTGGCTCCAACTGGTAATGCTCCGGCCTCTCGTGGCCTCCCTACTACTGCTCAGAGAGTCGGTGAGCAACTTGGCCTTGAGAAGTGTGGCCTGGGGAGGAGGGAGTCAGATGACTAGGCCGTGCCCAGGGTTGGTCAGTTGATTGCCTCGTCTGCAATTCCTGGTTCTAGAATCTTAGCTGTGTGCTTAGGTAGGTGCTAAGGGGCAGAGAGACAGTTCATTCTAGAAGTGTTGGGAACTTTTTTTTTTTTGAGTCTTTGCTCATTTGGTGACCTGTAAAAAAGGTTAATTGTAAAAGGTTATTAGCTGGATGACTAGAGACAGACCATTCATTTGGGTGGAGTTGGGACAATTAAGGAAACTTTTTTTTTTACAGAGTACATCCTGTATTCTGAGAGGTGGAAAGAGTTGTATGTTATCGTTGGCTGTTCCTTGAGAGTAGCACTAGAGGCCCCGTGTGTGATGTGTTGTGTGAACATGCTTTGGAATTTCTCCTTCCACGGGGCGTGGCCAGTTGGACATCTGCCAACACTGATGTGCGTTTGCTGGTCTGTTGTAGGGTCTGAGTGCCCGGACCGCTTGGCTATGGACTTTGGTGGGGCTGGTGCCGCCCAGCAAGGGCTGACTGACAGCTGCCAGTCTGGAGGTGGTATTGGATGCGCACAGAATGGGGAAAGCTGGGATTTGACGGGTCTTTGCCCAGACTGAGGGGCTTTAATTTTACTTGTTCTTTTCCTAAGGTGTTCCCACAGCTGTGCAGAGCTTAGCGCCTCGTGCTGCTGTGGCTGCTGCTGCTCCACGGGCTGTTGCACCTTACAAGTACGCCTCCAGCGTCCGCAGCCCTCACCCTGCCATGCCACCTCTGCAGGTGAGGGCCACCGGACAACGCTAAAAGGGTTCCCCTCATTTCTGTAGGATTTAAGAGATGCCTTGCTTTGAGTCCTTCAGGTATTAATTGCCTGCAGTATGTCAGAATGACGTGTCCTGTGTGGTGATTCTGCCCTGGAAGGGCTCTCTAGTGGGCGAGAAAGGGCTTAGCAGTGTTCTTCCTGATGACACACAGTTCAGTCAAATGCCCCAGAGGAGACAGCTCGTGCTTTCTGCTCTCCTTTACAAAGTAGTACATATGCGCTCATTCAGGTCTTTTTCTTGCATTTCTTTTTCACCTCCCCTGGCTTAGTCGATCATTATCTGCTCTGCAAGATAATCGGTACATTAAGGCAGGAAAGAACTTCATGTCACAGGAAAGGTGGAGTGGGCAGTTGGGCCCAGATCTCAGATTTTCTGAGCTGGAACTTGTTTCTGGTGGGCGAGCTGTGCCCGCCCACCCCCCAACCCCAGGCAAGCCACGATGGCGGCTAGTTTGTTGAAAAGCTCCATAGCACTTTGCTTGGAGGAGCCACACTCAGCCTTGGGATCCACCAGCTGCTTCCTCCGCTCTGTGCTAAGTGGAATATTTCCCAGAACTTGGTGCTCTATGGAACATTTTTTGCCTATAAGGCCCTCCTCAGGGCTGTGACAGGCACTGACATTGCATGTTGACAGTCCTCAAGCATTTGATACAGTAAAACCTTGGTACAATAAAGGTAATGTGGGATGTAATTATAAATGGCTTGATATTCATACCCTTTGACCCAGTCTTTACTAGGAATTCACCCTAAAGGAAAACTGGAATTTTCAGGAAAAGACTCTATATACAGATGTTCACTGTACTTTATTTATTAGTAAGGTTTCAAATTCTTGGGTAACTTTGAGTGCTTTAACCTTGAATAAATTATAGTAATTCAGTAGATGATTTCCAAGCATTGTAGGTTTTCTTATTTCCCTTTCCTTCTACTTGTAGCCGGCTATGTTTCTCTGCCCACACCACTGTTCCTCACCTTGCTCTCTCCGTCCCTCAAGGCTGCAGTTAGTTCCCTGACAGCAAGGGCAACTGTCTCCGCCTCCTCTTTCACATAGTAGACTTTCAGATGTTGAACGGTCAGGCTTTTGATCACCAAGAGTCCTTTCCTTGGTGCTAACCAGCTGCCTCTCCTGGTTCCCAGGCATCCCAGCCTGCAGTCCATGTGCAGGGGCAGGAGCCCCTGACCGCCTCCATGCTGGCTGCAGCACCCCCCCAGGAACAGAAGCAGATGCTGGGTGAGTGATTCAGTGCTTGCGGGAAAGGGGGCTGGAGCCTGGCACTGACCCGGACACCAGTGTCCAGTCTAGTCTTTCCTGGTTTTTACTTGAGTGTCTTCCTACAGGAGAACGTTTGTTCCCACTCATCCAAACCATGCATTCGAATCTGGCTGGCAAGATCACAGGAATGCTGCTGGAGATCGACAACTCCGAGCTGCTGCACATGCTGGAGTCCCCCGAGTCTCTCCGCTCCAAGGTAAATGGGTGGGCTCAGCTGGCCAGGAGGATGGCTGGTCTTGGACCCTCAGGCATGGCACAGAGAAGGAGCTGCTGTGGTGTGGGTGTTTGAGAAAGCAGTCAGCGCCAGGAGAAGCCATCACTGGGCCTGGGCGTCAGGGAAGAGTGCTGGGTGCTCTCCTTCCATGTCACTGACAACCTAGAGATTTCTCACAGGTGGATGAAGCTGTGGCGGTACTACAGGCTCATCATGCCAAGAAAGAAGCTGCCCAGAAGGTGGGCGCTGTTGCTGCTGCTACCTCTTAGACAAGGAAAAACTGTACGTTTGGCTGTTTTTGTTTCCTGCAGTGGTTTTCACTCATGAATAATACCTTCCTGAAAGATTAGGGACAATATATAGAGCCATGCTTTTTGCCATTTAACCTGATAACTTGGGCATGCCATCTTCTGGGTTTTCTTTTCTGTCATCTGGACATTAATATGGAGAAAAGAGTACAGGTCATAAATTGTAAGGAGTAAACAACAGTTTTCTCAATAAAGAGTACCTGGTTAGCAGTTCTATATAGCTTATTCTTTCCTGGTGGTTGTAACCAGACTTTCTCAAGAATCCTATATTTGGTCTGGAATAATGCATATATACAGGTGTGTCATAATCAGATTCTACAGCGTCATTTCTATGAACAACTCCCTGGTTGGATTTGAGATTGGTGAAATCAGCTGTGTGTACAGGCACTGTTTAACTCTGGGAACACGGTAGACACAAGCCTTTGTGTCAAAGTGGGAGAGAGACACACATACCTAACTACAGCTATGGCGTGTGTTGCAGTCGACTTCTGGATGTGGGGGGCTGTGGCCTCTGTCTTCAGGGGATTTGGGTGAGTGCAACTCAACTAGGACCCCTGACAAGGACCGATGAAGAAAAGAGACCATGGAATGAGCAGAGGCACAGTCCGGGGAAGAGCGCAGGTGGTGAGGGCCAGAGCCGGCGTGGAGGTTAGGGCTGCCCTGACATGGCCATGGATGGCCCCTCAGCTTATCATTTGGAGTTTAAGCAAGAGGACCATAAAACTAGAAACTTTTGAGGACAAAATGGCCTGGAAGGATATGGGGTGAGTCTTTATAGACTAGCTATCCTCAAAGTAAGTGGTTCTCAACTAGTTGTGCCCCTTCAGAGGACACTTGCCAATGTCAGGAGACATTTTTGGTTCTCACAACTGGGAATGTGTCACTGGCATCTAGTGCGTAGAGGCCAGGGATGCAGCTCAACTTCGTCCACTGCAGAGGACAGCCCCAACAGAATTTCATTCTGGCCAAAATGTCAGCACTGAGGCTGAGATTTCAGAGAATCTCAGGTTCTTTCGATTGTTTATGTTGGTGCTTTTCTTTTCAGGATTCAAAAGCCAAATAACCCCTCATGAAATTCAGCTTAAGGTTTGAAGACTTCCTAGCTTGTCCTATGGACTTAAACATCAAGAACCACAAATTACAAATTTAATAGGTCATTTTGTATCAAAAGGTCAATTATGAAGCACCTAGAATTTTTCAATTAAAAGAATATATTCTCTGGGTTCTGCTATGGCTCAGACAGTATTGACTTTTTTTTTCCTATTGTGGGTTTTGATTTCCACCCCCCTCCAAAATTGGTTTTATTTGATGTACCCAAGTCTTAAGTTTCTCAATAAAGAAAAAAACTCCATAACTGCCTGTCTTATGTTTTACTCTGACCACACAGTTTTATTCTATAAGTCTCTTTCACTGGAAGTAATTTTAGGATGTAAATAGGGTCAAATGAAGTTCTGTATACTTTATCCCTTCCTAGCTGGATTACCTAGGTGTACAAAACTGTCCATTGCATTGTTGTGGGAGGACTTTGTATTGAGACTCCCATTTACCTTAAGGGGGTAGGAGTCTGATCAGAGCGGGCGTGGAACCGATACAGGGTTGGCACATTTCTGAGGGGCATATGAAGAGATATGTAGATCCTGGCCCCTCCCTCCAGGACGTGCTGGTTGTAGTTTCAGTCTCTTCTGTCGCCTACGGCAGTTATGCATTCAAGCTAGCAGGTCTAGTTGCCCAGATTCTGCAATTGGGGTTTTCCCTGGCAGTGGGAAAAAAGGGCGTGGGAGATAGGTGTGAACGACAGCAGCAAACAATTGCTCAAGTCCTAAGTGTTTCCTGGCTCCTTATGTCCTCTAAACGACGATAACCTGGCCAAGGTCAAATAGTCTATTTGCCCTCCAGGAATCCTTCCTTTTCTGTCTTGAGCTTGGCAGGCTGTCCTTCCTTGGGGCCTTACCCGCAGTCTTTTATTCAGAACGCTCTTCCTTTTGGCTGGCTCCCCTTTTCCTTAAGGCGTGGCCCAATCTACAATAGATTTCCTCCATTTTCTGACGACCATGGTTAATGCGGCTGTGCGTGCGTGTTTTTTATTATCTGACTACGCCTCCGCACCTACCAGCGGCAGGGCCTGGTTGGTGCAACATCTGCGCTAGCTTGGAGGGGCGTGGCGTGTGGCGGCGCGGGAGTGCACTTCCGGCGGAAGAGCCGGGCGGCAATATGGCTGCCACCTAGAGGCGGAGACTTGGGGCGACAGAGGATTTTCACTGGCCAGGCCGTGGTTGAATCGTGATTGGGGTTGGCTCCAGGCGGCACGCCGGCACGTGGCACGCGGCACGCAGCACGCAGCGTGTACGGCCGGTCTCCTAATGGGTCTTCATCTCCGCGGCTTGTGACTGGTGTTCGCGACCTGATGGCTCTGCTGGTCCTAGTACTGTCCAAAGCCCGTTTTTTTTCCCGGCGCTGTACCCAGACAGGTGGTGAGATGTTGTTGGGACTCGGACATCTTGGGACCCCATCCCAAAATCTCGGCCCTAGCTCCTTAGATGAAGGCATTCCCAGAATAGCTGAGGAATTGTGGAAACGGTATCACCGCGCTGGTTGGTGAGCATTGTGATGCCTTGTATGTTTGGCTTTTGAATAGGGTCGGGCTAGGGAATGACCACTCCTCCCCCCAAAATGAGGGCAAACATCCCAGGTGTACTCAGGCCAGAGCTAGGTTTGAAAGGCCGGGAGTTAGGCATCCAAGGTGGGAGCAAGGCGCTGGACTGAATGGAGAGCAGCAGAGCAAAAGCCCAGAGGTGTAAAGAAGTCAGCACTTGGAGTCAAATAGTTGGCACTGGGGGGAAGCAAGGGGAAAAAGAGGCCTGAGAGGTGGGCAGGGCTCAGGTTTTGAAGGTCTTATATGCCATCCTAAGGAATTTGGACTCGTGTGGGCACTGTTGAACTTTTTGGCATTATTAAGGAGGGCAGTGTTGTAATCAGATTTGTATTTTTTGGAATTATTCTAGTGTCTGTATGGGGGAGAGAGAGACTGGAGATGGTGAGCCTGTTTAGGAAGGGACTAGATGTCGGCCTGAAGAGGACGGGGAGAAGTCATTTTTGTGTCCCCAAAAGACTGTAGGGACTCCTCCTTTTCCTCTCCGTGGGCTGTCTTCAAGAGTGTGGAGGACATTAGTGCAGAAAGAGCTTGGTGGGCTGGCAGAGGAAGTGGACAACAAAGTTCTTTGTTCCTGCTTTTATTCCTTTTGGAAACATCACAGATACTTAGATTACACTGGATTACGGAACAGATCAGTTTTCAGTGTCTTTCATGTTTAGATTCCTAATGCCAGGGAAAGAATGTGGAAAAAAAAAACATTAAGTCATGTGCATTCGGTACATGTTTGGAGTGTAATGAAGTTAAGGAGGATGTCTGTGTAGGTCATCATCACTACACCTGGTGATGGAAAAGGAATGTTTAGAGGATGAGGAAGCCAAGATGGTGGTATGGTTACGGGCTGAAATCGACAGAGATGGACAATTTGTTGGATTTGACAAAAGGCTTTTTCCACGTTGGAACCATTTGGGGGCTCTGATTTCTGTTCACGTACTATATAAACTGTAGTAAGAATCAGTAAGAAGATAGTCTGAAAAATCTCGAAAGGTCTCTTTATTGTTTCACATCACCTACTGGGTCACTGAACCCCCACCACATCCACTTAACCAGACCTCCCTTCTTAGCAGCTGTGTCTTTAAAAAGCAGAGGTCAGCAGGGAAACTTAGTCTTGACAATGGAGTGTTGGCCTCTGCTCACCGGGTGAGTTTTCCTTCAGTTGGTATAATGTTTGTTTCTATTTTTAAGATAGGAGTTTTAGACCCAGCTCTGCTACTAACTTTGTGTGTGACAAACTCTCTGAGCCTTACGTCCTTCTGTTTTTAAAAAGTAATTATTTTTTGTTTTTTAGAGAGAGAGGAAAGGAGGAAGAAAGAGAGGGAGACAAATACCAATTGGATGTCTCTTGTACATACCTCGACCACGGAGCGAACCTGCAACCCAGGCATGTGCCCTGACCAGGAATCGAACCAGTGACCTTTGGTGGTTTGCAGTATGACACCCAACCAATTGAGCTACGCCTGTCAGGGCACAAGTTCTTCAATTCTTAAATGGTAAGACTGGCCTTTGGGGGCCCTTCTATCCCAGCATTCTGTAAATTAGTAACTCTTACTGCTCTTGTTCCACCAAGTAAAATATCTGTGCTCCGGTCTCTAGTAGTCACCTAAGTCAGTAGTGAGGTCAGTGCACTGTATGTAGTTAATGCTCATTTGGGATGAATAATTGCTAGATCAACATTTTTTTCCTACTTTGTATAAGTCTTGGAAACATAGGTTATCAAAATGCTTGGAAAGGAACTCAAGGTTTAAATTGTGTAGTGGTAGAATCAGATAATACAAAGTTTAAAATTTTAGTCACCATTTAGCTATATTAACTTCAACAAAATGATTTTAATATTCCTGAAAGTGTTCTTAACCAAGAAATTTCACTTTTTAAATGGCATTGGGATGTGCCTTGCTTCCTCTCATTGCCCACATAATTAACTACTCATTTCTGCTATTGTAGAGAAGTACTTTCATTGAATTTGAGTTCCCAGAGGTAAGTTTTCAGTTTGACTACTGTTACTGTTGTCATTGGTTACAAAAGGTGCTAATGTCCATTTGGGAGGCGATAAGAGATTCCTGGAGCTACCATAACGAATTACCACAAACTCGGTGACTTAAAACAATTTATTCTCACAGTTCTGGAGGCTGGAAATCCAAAGCCAGGGTGTTGGCAGGGCCTCGATCCTTCTGAGTACTCTAGAGACAGTCCTTTCCTTCATGGCTTCCAGTGGCTCCTGGCAGTCCTTGGCATTCCTTGGCTTGTAACCACGTCACTCCAATCTCTGCCCCTTTGTTCACATGGCCTTCCTCCCTGCGTGTGTCTTTCTGTGACTTCTTATAAGGACACCACTCATTGGATTTAGGGCCCACCCTTATCCAGTGGGACCTCATCTTAACTAGTGACTTCTGTAAAGACCCTGTTTGGGTAGATGTGAAATTTGGGGAATACTGTTCAACCCTCTACAGTGGCTCGATGTTGACAGTTGCCAAGAGAGAGGAAGTTCCGGTTCAGAGTTCGCCTCATGTAGTCAGAGTGTGGAAGCCAGGTCCTGCAGAGCCTGGAGCCGTCTGACCTGGCATTGCTAGTTCCTGTTTCCTGTGCGTGCTCTCTGTCTCCATAACCAGGCACATGTAATGGTGTACCGCCAGCTCTGACAAGCAGTTAGTACATGTTCTTTGTTAAGGAGGTACATACAGTCGAGGTGGTTAGGAAGGAAAAATATGTCTTTTTTCCCTGTGTTTGTGCTACTGAGCATGTAAGTGGTAAATACAAGAAGAGTTAAACTGCAGGTGTGAACTTTTTTGGAGGGAGGGCAGGGTATTGCAGCAGCTACTGACAATGTGGTATGGCTGAGAATCTTTGCTTTTTACTGAAGCTGTCGTTATTTGAAAGTGCTTACTGTGAACCGACTATGAAACTAATTCTTACTTAGATATCCTCCCCACTTAACACTGGAATAAATACCAGCCGTCAGTCTGTTGGCCAGTCTTTCCCTGACCGTCCGTATCTGTATCGTCGGTCAGGAAGCTGCAGTTCATGGGCTGGAGCTGTTCTGCAGCCTGCTTCTATATGGCCTAGGTACTAAGTGGTGTTTGTATTTGTAAAGGGTTGCAAGGGAGAAAAGAATATGCAGCAGAGATTGTACGTGGCCTGCAAAGCTTAACATATTTACTCTCTAACCTTTTTCGGAAAGTTTGTTGACTTTTAGTCTAGGCCAGTATGCTGCAAATAGAGTGTAAATTGATTGCAGAATGAAATTGTGAGTCTTGCATAAGAGGCAGGATTTCATGAAGTATCTGAAAGTGATTATGGACGACTACTGTTTTTGGTTCTAGTTTGAAAAGTGAGGCTCTTGTAAAGATAAACCAATTAACAACTGAGTAGGAGGAGAAAACCTGTGTGACAGGTTGGGTGCTTTGAAAGAAAATTATTTGAATTCCTATCGTTGCTATAACAAATCATGACAAATTTGGTGGGTTGTACAGTGCAAATGTATTATCTTACAGTTTGAGACATCAGAAGTCCAAAATGGATGTCGCCAACTTAAAGTCAAGGTGTTAGCAGGGCTCTGTTCCTTCCGGAGGCTCCGGCGGAATATCTGTTTACCTTTCCCACTGTCTAGAGGTTGGCCACACCCCTTGACTCGTGGCCCCTTCCATCTTCAAGCCAGTGATGACCAGGCATGTCCTCCGCACACCGTGTCACTCTGAAACTCACTCTTCTGCTTCCCTCTTCACGTTCAGAAGATCCTCGTGATTATGCAGGGCCCATCCAGTAATCCAGGATAATATTCTTACTCGAAGATCAGCTGGCTAACCTTGATTCCATCTGTAAACTCACTTCCCTCTTGCCATATAATAAGCATATTCATAGATTCCAAGGGGTGGAATGTGGACATCTTGGGGGAGGGGGCATAATTTTGCCCACCACAAAACCCTTAAATGTTTGGCCATTAAAAAAAAAAAATCTCTGTGATTAGTCTTCATCACTAAGTATGAATTAAGGAAGTCATTTCATGCTGTCTCTTGAGTGTTTTAATTGCTGGAAATAAAAATAGTACCTTATCCGTCTCTGTTTCTAAGAACAAGGGCACACGTGTAACCTGGAATCTTACTTCATTTGTTTTTAAATTTTCATGTAAAGGTCCAAAACAAACCTTTGAAAAAACAAATCTTTGAAAAAAAAATCTACCTTTCCCTATATCACGAGGGTTGACTTGTTTCGTGGTGAGCACGCCATGAAACGCCGGCACCGCGGGCACTTCAGGTGGGTGGAAACAGCCTCTTCATATCTCCGTTTTGGCCGAGCAGGTTGAGCTGGGGCAACGCTTCAGCCCTTTCTTAAGGAGGGGCAGTCCTTTCAACACCTCTTGGATTTCCCCAGGAACCGGTGGGCCCCACCGCTCCTTCCACTTTGTCCAGAAGCTGCTTGCTGATACCAAACAGCTTGGGGAGCCTTGGCAGCGGTAACTTGTCTTTTCCCCCTTTGGCTGCTGCCGTCTTGGGGGAGGGCTTTGATATCACTTATTCTTGGACAGTGAAATATTCCATACTTCGTTCTGTGTTCTCCGTTACTCTCCTACGAAATAAGTCTCAGCAGTTAGCAATTCCATTTTTTTCCAGTTCAGTGCTGATCTTGACTTTAAAAAAATATATTTTATTGATTATGCTATTACAGGTGTCCCATATTTCCCCCTTTTATTCCCCTCCGGCCTGCATCATCCCCCCACCTGCATTCCCCCTCATCATGTCATGTCCACGGGTTGTACATATAAGTTCTTTGGCTTCTCCTTTCCCTATACTATCCTTACCTTCCTCTGCTTATTTTGTGCCCACCATTTATGCTTCTTATTCCCTCTACCTTTCCCCTCCTCTTTTCCCTTCCTCCTCCCCACTGATAACCTTCCATTTCTGTAATTTTGTCCCTGTTATAGTTGTTCGCTTAGTCTGTTTTTGTTTTCAGGGTTTTTTAAGATTTTATTTATTTTAGAGAGGGGAAGGGAGGGAGAAAGAGGGACAGAAACATCAATGTGCAGTTGCCTCTCATGTGCCCCTTGTTGGGGTCCTGGCCTCCAACCCAAGCATGTGTCCTGACTGGAAATCGAACTGGTGACCCTTTGGTTTACAGGCCAGTGCTCAACCCACTGAGCCACACCAGCCAGGGCTAACTGTTCATAGTTTTGTTCATCTTTTTCTTACATAAGTCCCTTTAACATTCCCTAAACTAAAGGCTTAGTGATAATGAACTCCTTTAACTTGACCTTATCTAGGAAGCACTTTTTGTGCCTTTCCATTCTAAATGGCAGATTTGCTGGATAGAGCAATTTTGAATGTAGGTCCTTGCTTTCATGACTTGCAATACTGCTTTCTAATCCCTTCTTGCCTGCAAGGTTTCTTTTGAGAAATCAGCTGACAGTCTTATGGGCACTCCTTTGTAGGTAACTGTCTCCTTTTCTCTTGCTGCTTTTAAGATTCTCTTTAGTCTTTGGTCATACAATGATGTGCCTTGGTGTGTTCCTCCTTGGGTCCAACTTCTTTGGGACGCTCAGCTTCCTGGACTTCCTGCAATTCTATTTCCTTTGCCATACTGGGGAAGTTTTCCTCCATTACTTTTTTCAAATAAGTTTTCCATTTCTTGCTCTTCCTCTTTTCCTTCTGGCAACCCTATGATTCGAATGTTGGAATATTTAAAGTTGTCCCAGAGGTTCCTAAGCCTCTCCTCATTTCTTTGAATTCTTATTTCTTCATTCTGTTCTGGTTGAATGTTTATTTCTTCCTTCTGGTCTATATCGTTGATTTGAGTCCCAGTTTCCTCCCCATCACTGTTGGTTCCCTGTACCTTTCCCTTCATTTCATTTGGCATAGCCTTCACTTTTCCCTCTATGCACGATCATACTCAGCCATTTCTGTGAGCATCCTGATTGTTTATCAGTGTTTTGAATTCTGCATCTGATAGGTTGGCTATCTCCTCATTGCTTAGTTCTGTTTTTGGAGCTTTTGTTTGTTCTTTCATCTGGGCCACGTTTCTTTGTCTCAGTGTAGCTGTTACCTAGCAAGGGGCAGAGCCTTAGGTGTTCACCCGGGTGCAGCAGCCCAGTTTGCTGCGTTGTGGCGCTGTCTGTGGGGGAGGGGGTCCAAGAGGGAACAGTGCTGCTTCCCTAGCTCTCTGCTGGCTTTCCGACACTTCCCCCAATACTCACAATCAAATTGGGCCCTTCTGGTGCCGATTCTGGCTGGGTGGGTTTGTGTACATTCTAGGACCCTGGGGGTCTCTCCAGTGGCGAACTCTCCTGTGAGGCTGGGAGTTTCTCCTGCTGCTGCAACCCCCATAGGATTTTTCGACCACAGATTTTGAGACTTTATTTTCCCGTGTTGGAATCCTAGGTTGTGCTGTCTCTTTCCTCCAGGATAAACCACATGCAAATGTGGGGCCACCCAGTCCACCAGCCACCACCTTGCCCCCACCCTGGTCCTCCAGCCACCACCTTGCTATGTGTCCTTTCTCCCCTGACTGCCCATCTCCACCCCTCCCACCAGTCTGGATGGATGTCTCTGCTTTAACTCCTTGGTTGTTGGACTTCCATACAGTTTGATTTTCTGACAGTTCTGGTAATTTTTTTGCTTTTAAATTAATTTTTATCCTTCTTTTGGTTGTGCGAGGAGTCAAAGTGTATCTGCCTATACCTCCATCTTTGCCCAAAGTCTCTGCGCTTGACTTTTAAGGTGGACTCAGGACCTGGTAACTAACTGCATTTACCCTTATAATTTCAGTTCCAAAGATTATGCCAGAAAATACCTTCCTATTGGGAGAAGGGAAGTGCATGGTGGCTCAGGGACTTTTTGTGGTTAGCTTTGTGCTCAGGCTGGCATTGAGGGGTGGGGAGGGGGTACAGGCTGGCAGCGTAGAATAAATCATGAGCAGGTCTAAGACTTCTTAGAATTAGTTAGCAGGCATTCATTTAACTCACAAGGATTAAGCAGCCGAGTGGTACTGCCGTCTTTTCAGAATGAATCTGAACTTTTGGGGAGGATGGTTTGTGTCAGTTTGCCCAAACCAGCAGTGGGAACTAAGGAAGGCTCTTCCAGACCACATGAATGGGGCCAGTGTCCTTCCCGTTGTGGCAATAGTCTGTACCCCGATGGAGTGGCTTAGAGTGGGGAGAGCAGACTCTCAGCAAAGCTAGAGGCGCTGTCCCGATGAAAGTCGTACCTCAGGACGTGGACATGGACTGTGTCCTTCACTCCTTGATAAGGGTGGGGCTTCCCTGTTGCTCAACTTGGTCCCTCTTTATTCTCATCCCCCTCTGCTAAGACCTGGACGTGAAGGCTTGACTCTGCCCGGTGACAGCTGTCCTTGCCTGGGGGGTTCCTCAGAGGTAGGTTCTGCCTGGGACAGAAGTCACACTCACAGAACGTGCACTCGGTTGACCCAAGTAGCTCATTAGCAGTTGGCCGACGGCTTGACTCTCTTCACACTGTTTGATTATTTCCCTTCAGTTTGGTCAGGTGGTGACTAGTCAGAGAAGCGCGCGGAGAAGGGAGGGGTCAGAGCCCCCCGAAGCGGAAACGCGGGTGGCGAGATCGAAGGTGCGAGCTTCTGGTGTGGGTGGTGGTGGGGGCACTGAGTGAGGCACCGTGGGCTGTGCCCGTCCTCGCGGGGCCCGAGGTGTGCTCAGGGGTTTGTGTTGCTGTGGAGTGGGGGGGACACGTCTGGATGGGAAAGGACAGTGGGTGCCCCTCGTCACCAGCGTCCGCCAACCTTCTTGCCCTTCCCGCCGCCTCCCGGAGTTGGGGCCAGGCTCAGCTGTGTCCTGTCCCCGGCCTGGCTCTAGAGAGGCCCCCCCCCACCAGTCTGCTCCAGGCCGCAGCCGCTCCCTGCCGCGGCACTTCCTTCTGCCTGTTGACACACCATCCTGACCTTTGCTTCTCCTCTGCCCTCGCAACAGTGGGGTCTCTGAGTTCCTTCCTTAGGCCTCAGCTCCTCTCTACACTGTCCTTGGGACAGTTTCAGCCACTTTTGTTCCATCTGGTTATCACAACCTCTCGCTGTTCTGGTCTCCAGTCCTAGCCCTGACCACTCTCCCAGGTTTCACATATTTCTGCCTGAACGTCATGCTGTCACCATAAACAAGCAAACATATCCAAAGTGAATGCCCTCCCCCTCCACCCTGGTCCTCCGGGTACCTGACCTTAGCCAGTGTTGCTGTCTTCCACGTAGTCACCCAGACCAGGAACTTCAGTGTCGTCTTACCCCCTCGTAATTTATGCCTCGTGCACTCCCGCAGCCTGCAGATTGTGTCTGCTAAGTTTCCTGCGTCCCTCTGTGCCTGTTCACTCTGCCACATCTGGGCCGGGCCTCTCCTCTCTCACGAGAGTGATGAGGTCACTGGTCTCCGTGCCCCAGGCCTGTGTCCCCCTGTTGGGAGAAGCCAGTGGGAGCTTCCTGAAGTGTAGCTCTGGTGACTCACCCTTCCGTGTTCTGGGCGTCCTGCATCTGTAGGGCTGACTGAGCACTGGCTCCGTCGGAGGGGTAGGGAGGTCCCCATGTTCCCACCCTGCTCTTCTCTCCACATCGTAGCCCCATTTTTATTCCTGAAAACCAGAGTATAGTTACCTATACATCTCCCATGTTTTTGCACAAGCAGTTCCTTTGCCTAAAATGATCTTTCCAACTTGCCTTATTTAGCTAACTCCTAGTGACCTTTCATAGCCGAGCTCACTGCTACCTTCCCCGGGAAACTGTGAGTCCTCCAGTTGCGTTAGTGTCCTTCTGGGCTTCTGTGGCCTCTGGACTTCGTGGAGCACTCTCTCCAAGCGTTTGCCGCACCGCTGTGACGTTGCTTTTACATGTTGCTTCCTCTGTGCCAGACACTGCCGTAAGTGCTTTACCAATGCTTACTCCTGTTGACAGTCCTTTGAGATACGTACTATTATTATCCCCAGTTCTGGGTGACAGAACTGGGGCACAGTGAGGTCAAATAACTTGTTGCACACAACACAGCCTACGAGTCGTGGAGCTAAGATTGGAAGCCAGACCGTATCGCCGTAGCATCTGTGTGCCTCACGTAGCTGAGAACATCCCTTCCCCGCTGGGCAGCCCATTCTGCAAGGGCGGAGCCATGTCTTCTCACTGAGTAACCCAGTGCTTGGCCTCATAGTTCAGTACCTGCGTGGTGACCTGTCCACACTGCAAGGACGTCAGAGACCATGGAGTTTTCTGTGTCACACAAATGGAGAGTTTATAGTGAATGCTTTGTTTATCTGGTCAGCCTGTCCAATTGGAGCATAAAGCAAGGCCCAACCTCCTCCATTGTCTTCTGGTCACTAGAGCCCAAGACAGCCACCCTCCTCGGTTGCATTGCAGCCACCCTGTGAACATGTAGGGTTAGGTGTAGAGGGAGAGGGTTACGGTCCATTTAACTGGAGTGAGGTGGGTGGGCTTGAGCCGGGGCTTGAAAGTGCCCAGCACAGGGTCATTCTGTGACCGCAGGGAAGTGAAGTGGGCTGACCTGTCTGAGGGTGAGTCACCTGATGAGATAACGTACCTGTGGGGCGGGGGTGGGGTTAGATAGCGCTGAGGTCTCCTGTCACCCGGCGTCCAGCTGGGTGCCGTGACCATGGCCTCTGCCTCCTGCAGCCCCGCCTGCTCACTGCAGTCGGGTTCTGGGTGTGGTTTCAGAGGAATCCTCGTCCTCCCACTCGGGGAGTCAGGGAGTTCTCTCTAACTGAGCGATTTCTTCACCCAGGGAGAGGCCGCTGCAAAGAAGGCCCGCTCCAACCCGCAGGTGTTACATGGACGTCAAGATCGGGAACAAGCCAGCGGGCCGCATCCAGATGCTCCTGCGTTCGGACGTCGTTCCCATGACAGCAGGTGAGTAGGGCTGTGGTCAGGACTGCCGGGAGGCTGGTGGCTAGTCAAGCCAAGGAGGAAGCTGCCGCACCCTCGACAGTATTTCTGCCTGAGTCCACCTGAGGTATCTCGGATCCCAGAAGCTGGTGGCAAAAGAGGCAGCGCAGGTATTTTTGAAGCTCTGTAAAGAGGTAGGACTATTAGAAAGCATAAGCAGTTTAAAATTATAAAATATTTCAATTACTATCCTGTTGGGTTTTTTTTTTAAAGATTTTAGTTAGTTTTAGAAAGAGGGGAAGAGAAGTAGAAAGGGAGGAAGAGAAACATGAATCTGTGGTTGCCTCTTGCACACCCCCTGCTGGGGACCTGGCCTACAACCCAGGTATGTGCCCTGCTGGGAATCAAACCAGTGACCCTTTGGTTTGCAGGCTGGCACTTAGCCACACCAGCCAGGACTCCTATTCTTTATCACTTATTTATATACATATATTTTTCCCCTTCTGTACCAATTGAGAGGAAGTTGAAGACATGTGCTTTGACTACAAATATTTCAGTATATATTTCCTGAGAACAAAAATATGCCCTTACTAATCACATTACAGCTATCAAAATCAGGAAATCCAACATCCATGCAACACTAATTGAAATGAATCTTAAGGCCATATTTTCCTTATTGTCACCTATCCAAACTTCATGCAAATCCCCATGAGTCTGTTTCCCAGAAAAACTGACCTAAAATAGCCAAAAACTGGGGAAAGAGCAGATAGCAGTAACATGAAGGTATTGTTCTGAGATACAATCACCAAAATAATCACCTGAAGGAAAGAAAGAAAGAAATGTTGTCTCTGGCAGGGCAAAAACTGGTATTGGGGGAGCGGAAGAATTCCGTGTTTTACAAGAAATTTCATGGAATGATTTTTTTAAAAACTGTATACAATTATGGTTGTAATAAGCATTTTGAAAAAGCTGGACTGAGTCTGGCCAAGGTGGAGGCATAGGTAGATACACGTTGCTTCCTCACACAATGAAAAAAAGGATAAAAACCAACTTAAAAACAACCAGAACTGCCAGAAAATTGAGTTGTATGGAAGTCTGACAACCAAGGAGTTAAAAGATTGATTCATCCAGTCTGGTAGGAGGGGTGGAGACGGCATCCAGGCAACATGGGAAGCTGGGGCGGGAAGGATGAGCAGCGATGCTGTGGCTGGCGGACCGGGACATCCCACATTCACACGCAGATAAGCTGGCAGGAACAACTGGGAAGCAAGACAGACCACACTACCCAGGGTTCCATTGGAGTGGCCTACAGAATCATAGAATGTACACAAGCCCACCCACCAGGTAATCAGCACTTGAAAGGACACAATCTGCTTGTGAGAAGTGAGGGAAGTGACTAAAAGCTGGTGAGAGCCAAGCAAGTAATGTTCGCACTTGGACCCCCTCCCCCACAGACAGCGCTACAATGCAGCAAACTGGGTTGCTGCACCCGGGTGAACACCTAAGGCTCTGCCCCTTGCTAGGTAACAGCTACACTGAGACAAAGAAACGTGGCCCAGATGAAAGAACAGACGAAAGCTCCAAAAACAGAACTAAGCAATGAGGAGATAGCCAACCTATCAGATGCAGAATTCAAATAAACAATCAGGATGCTCACAGAAATGGCTGAGTATGATCGTGCATAGAGGGAAAAGTGAAGGCTATGCCAAATGAAATGAAGGGAAAGGTACAGGGAACCAACAGTGATGGGGAGGAAACTGGGACTCAAATCAACGATATAGACCAGAAGGAAGAAATAAACATTCAACCAGAACAGAATGAAGAAATAAGAATTCAAAGAAATGAGGAGAGGCTTAGGAACCTCTGGGACAACTTTAAATATTCCAACATTCGAATCATAGGGTTGCCAGAAGGAAACGAGGAAGAGCAAGAAATGGAAAACTTATTTGAAAAAAGTAATGGAGGAAAACTTCCCCAATCTGGCAAAGGAAATAGAATTGCAGGAAGTCCAGGAAGCTGAGCGTCCCAAAGAAGTTGGACCCAAGGAGGAACACACCAAGGCACATCATTGTATGACCAAAGACTAAAGAGAATCTTAAAAGCAGCAAGAGAAAAGGAGACAGTTACCTACAAAGGAGTGCCCATAAGATTGTCAGCTGATTTCTCAAAAGAGACCTTGCAGGCAAGAAGGGGCTGGAAGCAGTATTGCAAGTCATAAAAGGCAAGGACCTGCTTTCTAGACAAGGTCAAGTTAAAGGAGTTCATCACCCAGCCCCTATTTTAGGAAATGTTAAAGGGACTTACCTAAGAAAAAGAAGATGATCAGAACTATGAACAGTAAAATGATAAACACAACTATCAACAACTGAACCAAAAAAACACTAAGCAAACAACTAGAACAGGAACAGAATCACAGAAATGGAAGATAACATGGAGGGTTATCAGTGGGGAGTGGGAGGAGGGAGACTCAGAGGAAAAGGTACAGGGAATAAGAAGCATAATTGGTAGGCACAAAATAGACAGGGGTGGAGGTTAAGAATAGTACAGGAAATGGAGAAGCCAAAGAACTTACATATATGATCCATGGACATGAACTAAGGAGGAGGGAATGCTAGAGGGAAGGAGGGTGCAGGGTGGGGTGGTGGATAAAGGGGAGGAAAAAAATGGGACAACTGTAATAGCAATAAATATACTTAATAAAACAACAAAAAGGATTATGGGTAAAAGGGTCATTATGAATATTTATGAAAATATGAGATACAACTACCGTCAGTAGTAGTTAACCCCTGGGAAATGGACTGCAGGTACTGAAGGGGAAATTCTGCATACCTGAATGTTTGCCCAGGCATAAAGTCTACATGGACCTAGAATAATTCTTCATTGTGTAGGACATTGCAGGACATCTCAGTTCCCTGCTCCTTCCCACTCATACCAGTGGCGCCCCCTGTATCACGGACCAAAAATATGCCTTGAAGTCTCTGAGCAGCCTCCAGGGGGCAGTGTTACCTTGCGTATAACCCCTGCTCTAAACAATCTCTTCCCTTCAATTTTGGGCTTAAATGCATAATGGAATGAGGTTGTAGGAGCAGATAATGGTAATCACATCTTCCACACCCTTGCCTGGCAGGAGATGGGACAATTTTTCATTAAGTGGGATGTAGCAGAAACCTCACATTTCACGCGCCCCCCGCCCTGCCCAACCACTAACGCCAGTAGCACCCCATAACATTTCTAATGATCAGAGACACTTTAACTTCCGCAGTGCCACGTCCTCTTCCAACCATGCCGTCTGACAAAGTCCGGGCACGGAGGATTCGAGTTCAAAGAATTCGTCTCCCCAGAAGAGAACGTGGCATCCAAAATGGGTTAACAATTGGCTGCTTTATTTTAATTATTTTACTCTTGCTACTGAGTATGGACATTGTACTATACTTACTTATTCCTGTGAAAATCACCAAAGAGGAGGGAACAGTTTAGGGGAAAACATTAGTATTCCCCACGAAACTGCCTGAAAGGATGGAAAAATCTCCACACATTCCCCTCTCCCTTATACAGGGGAGTACAACAGCCAGGGTAACATAATTATTAACCATAAGGGAAAACATGTCAAGTTGTATAAATTACCCTGGTTTGAGCAACTTAAGGCAATCAGGACCACCATAGTGTACCAGAAATAAGAAAAACAAGTTACATATTTGTTTGGGTAATCAAAAGGTGGTGGAATTGTTAGACATTTATATTTCAGGTTCATTGATTCGCATAATTCCAATGAAGTACAAAATAATTTCTTGACCAGAGAACAAAGTTCACTCTAATGAAATAGTCCCTGAATGTTTAGAAGTTGTTGAAGTAACAGCCCCTCCTTTACCTTGAACAGGAATATATATTAATTAGAATTTAGTAAACATAGAAACAAGAGAAGCTTGTTAGATACTATAAACTAAGCACGTAGATACAATTACCAAGGAGTTAGAGTCCATAGTACATAGAGAAACATTTTAGACAGAAAGATAAATAGCTAAATTAGACATCACAAAGGCCTTATAATGAATTTCCTAACCTCTCCTTGGTGTAGCGTACCTTTTGCCCCATGCCAAATTCTAGACTTTTTAATAAACAGTAAGACATTCAAACTCTGTACATAGGGTTATTTCGAATTGTCTGATTAATGGTTCTCCTAGTCAAAACAATTTTTGTATAATTGAAACTGTAGAAATTCTTGTACTTTTCCTGGTTACCTTTGTATTGATTTTTTCTGCTTAACTGATCATGCTATACACCTGCAAATGTTAATCACTACGTAAAGTGAAAATATAAAAACCTGCTTGTACTTGAAATAAACAGAACAGAGCTTCACTGTCCTTTGAGGTGTGTTGTCATCTGTTACCCAGCGCTGACGCCTACCCTCACCTGTGGGACCCCTTGACCCCCTGCGGCCGGACCTCAGCACCGAAGGACCCTGAGGGGTGGGACCAGAACCACCCCCCCAGAACCACCGGCCCAGGCCCACTCCAGGCCCCAGGCCGCAGTCACGTCCCCGCTGCTGCTCCCACAGTCGGTCTCCGCCCGACTCCTGTCCTCTCCCCTCACACCCCCCACGGCTTCACACGCCCCACAGCTCGTGCTCTTCACCCCACACTCTTCCTCCCCTCCTGCTGTTTCAGTCGGTGACACCACCGTCCACCTGGCCGAGGAGTCAGGCCCTTGGGACCCACCCTTGAGCCCTCTCCTCGGTCACCCTCAGGTCAGAGCCCTCTGTCTGCAGTCCCTGCCTGGCCCGGCCGCCCCGCACCCTCCTCCCCACCGGGGCCTTCCCAGCTCACCTCCGGCTCCGCTCTCGCCTCTTGCCCCTCGTAGTCTGACGTCGAGGTAGTCAGAGCGGTCCTTCCAGATGGAAACCCAGTCCCATCGTTCTGCGGACAGTTTTCCTGGGGCCACATCGCCCGTGGGATCCAGTCCAGCAGGGACCCACCCGGGCCTGGCACCTGCCCACACCCACCGACCCGCCGCTCTGTGTCCCCACTGCAGGCTCGCCGTTCCTCAGACCCTGAGCTCACTCCCCCCGGGGCCTCGGCCAGTGCTGATTCCTCCCTGGAGCATCTGTCCCCAGTTTCCGCAGGGCCACCCCTGCCTCCCTTTGGGTATCACACACGTGTCCCCTCGTCCTCGGGGCCTGCCCTGGCCTCCCTCTCGAGTGGGCTTTCCTACCATCTCACCTGTCTTTTTGAGTCCAGCTTCATTTCTTGCCACACCCTTACTGTTTGAAACTGGAAGTTTCTTTTTCTACTTATTTTCTGTCTCCCCTGAGAATGGCAGCCTCGTGAGCACAGGACGTGGGATTATTTTCTCTCCTGTGTCAGCGTCTGACACAGTAAACATTTGACCATTGGAAACAGTGCTCACGGGCTGGTCTGTTCTGTGCCAGACTCCTGCTATGCTGCGGCGCTGAGCGCGGAGGGGGACACGCCCCGCCCCCAGGGAGCACGCCCCGCCCCCAGGGAGCACGCCCCGCCCCCAGGGAGCACGCCCCGCCCCCAGGGAGCACAGGGTGCCGAGGCCCCACATGGAGAGCGGCTTTCTCACCACAGATGGGCTACAGCTGCTCCTGCTGCACCTCTGCCCCCAGACCTGGGCCCTTAAACTAAACTCAGACGTCCCCCGCCCCCCTTAGAGCCTCCCTGAGGGTGGCAGGAGCCCACGTGACGCACCCAGAGCCCCTGTGTGGCTGCCCCTGCGCACCCATGCCCTGCGCAGCTGTCTGCCCCTGGCTTCCCTTTGTCACAGCACAGCTGTCTTTTGAGTGACCTGCACTAGACGAGCTCCACCAGAGCCGGGACCCTGTCCCCAAGGCTCTACAGGGGTCTGGTCACAGCACAGACAGTATTTGTCGAGTGAGTGACACAGGACAAGCGGGTATAAAGTGATTGAAGCAGCCCTGATCCCTGTTCCGTGGACTGCCCCTGGAGTGAAGGACAGGCGTCCACATGGTCGGTGCGTCCCAGAGTCGGCTTGGCCGGGGAAGGGGACTGACCCTGCCTGCTCCCCCCAGGCCTGCTCTCCATGGCCAACTCCGGCCCCAACACCAATGGCTCCCAGTTCTTCCTGACTTGTGACAAGACGGACTGGCTGGACGGCAAGCACGTGGTATTTGGGGAGATCACGGAAGGCCTGGATGTCCTGCGAAAGATCGAGGTGGGTGACTGACACCCCGAGGGCCAGCAGGAGCGGTGCCCTGCGGCCTGGAGGGAGGGGCGCAGCGGCTGGCGGAGGAGGCTGCGGGTGCTCAGGCTGGGCGTGGGAGGTGGGCTGCCTGTCCCGAGGTCCCCTTGAATCTTCACCCTGCCTGCGCGCTTTCTCCTCTCTTCCTCCCACGAAGGCCCAGGGCAGCAAGGACGGGAAGCCGAAGGAGAAGGTGATCGTCTCCGACTGCGGGGAGTACGTGTGAGAGGTGCTTTCCCTGCGCTGCGCCTGCGGGTCCCGGATTCGTTCACCCGGGGGATCCTGCACTTGTTAAGCAGGGGTCCGTGACGTGGCCCTTCTCGGGGTCAGCTTGGAGCAGCTCCCCTGCAGGCCGGCCTGGGCTTCCCCTGGCTCTTTCCCAAGTGTGGCCGTGGCCTTTGTAGGCCTTTGCTGCCAGCGCCTCTCGTGGGCCCACTGGTGTGGATACTGCACGCTTTCTCTTGTAAAGAAAACCCTGGATCCTGCACTGCTGCCTGCTGGGCAAGACCGGAGCTCCTCCCCTGCCCTCGCCCTTCCTGGGCCATCCCTGAGAGCACACCAAGCGGGGCCACTGCAGAGTCGCGGAGGTCGTGGGAGCAGGTACAAAAGCGCCTCCGTCCTCACTGGTTCCTGGTACCAGTCACGCGAATTGGGTTAGCCAGACTCTGTTTCTGCCCTCACACCTGCTGGCCTGAGTCACCTCACAGCATCTCACGTGCTGAAGCTGAGCACTGGAAACCATCGGTCCCCAGAAACCTCTCCAGCACCACTGCCTGCTCCCCACCTGTAGCTCGGAATCAAATCTGGACATTTAGAAACTGCTGGGCTGGGTGAGGCTGGTTCTCAAGTGGGGTCAAGGTCAGGTTGAGCCCAGAGGGGAGGGGCCTGCTGGCCTGTGGCCCAGTGATCCTGGCCAGCTCCTGCAGAGGGGTGGGTGCCAGACCAGCCTCTGGCATCTGGAGCCAGCATCGGGTGGGCTTCAGGTGGGGCTTCTCCGCAGCAGAGACCCTTGCTTCTTAACCTACGCGTCCCTCTCACAGGGGGCCAGTCATGGCTATCAGGACGGACAGCAGTGAGGCCAGGGGAATGGCAGCCATTTGGGGCCGATGTCAGGTCCAAGGGCGAAGAGGATGTGCGTGAAGTACCGAGCGTGGCCAGCCTGGTTATGACATGCAGGGACATGGAGCAGGCTGGCCTGGTGCCCCAGGAGGGAGGGCTGGTCTCACAACGCCGTGAATCAGGGGGAGAGGTTGTGGGGGGACCTTGTCACTTACTGTGCTTCAGTGGTTGTCCTGGGAGCGTAGGGCCAGCAGACTGGCCAGGAGGCTGCTGGGTGGGGAGCATGGGGTGACCACTGCTCACCTGCGCTGTGCAAGGGCTTCCCCGGAACTTGCCCCTGTGTCCGCCCGTGACCCTTGTACAGGTGGTGACCGGAGACTCAGGGCAGGTGCCGGGTCCAGGCTATGGCCTCCGGTGACCACATGGATGTGGGGTGGGGCTTGGATGGTAGGGTCTTGGGGTCCCCACAGCACCCCCGGGAAAGGAATGGGGGACCTAGTTTGTAAGTGAGACACTACGACAGGAGTCCAGGCATGGAATGCTGCTACGAGTTGTTTTTAAAGAATGTTTAATAACACATTTTCAGAGTAAATTGAATAAGATCACCAAACAGTGCGCAGAGTGTGATCCTAACTGTAAAGTCCCCATGTATTGTGAATAAAGACCTGTGCGCCGAGAAAAGAGCCCGAAGGAATCATTAACAATGGTTCTGTCTCTGTGGTGGGATTATGTGTGTCTGTATTGTTTTTTATTTTCAAAAATTTCTGCACCATACATGTAATTTTCTTAAGTGAGGAAAAAAACAGTCAAATGGTTGCTCAAGGCTCCCAGAAAGAAGAGAAACCCAGTTTCTCCCTTCAGCTTCCCACGAGTGGTGGCCCCTGCAGGTCACACCGGTCACCGCACAGGAGGCGGCTGCATTTGCAAACTTTTAAAGTACAGCCACTGATAGCTGCTATTCATTCTACACACACGTTCAGACACGGCGCTAAGCGCTCTGTGGACAGACTTGATCCCCACCTTGGCCTTGCGAGGGTGGAAGCAATACCCCTCTACAAGGGCAGGGCCGTCTGAGTCAGACTCCGTCATTCAGTCAAATTAACAAGAGGCAGAGCCAGGACTTGATGGCAGGTCTGTCGGCCGCAAAGCCTGCTCGCTCTCTGGGTCACGGCCTCCTCCCCTGTGAATTCAGTGGGAGTTTCCTGGAGCACATCACCCGCTTCCCTTCCTGCAGAGATGAGCACAGGGCTTTGCCCGATGCGCTGCGCAGGCATCAGGGCCGGGGTGCTGGGGACAAGGCGGTTGGCTCCACGCTGAACGGCTTCGCAGCCTCCCTTCATGTCCGTGTTTACTTTGCTGTCAGTGGCCCTGGGTTGACCACCCTACTCATGCTTCTGCTGCGCAGCCTTGAATGCAACCTGGGCTGTCGGGGGCAACCAAATAAAGGAGGTGGCTTTGGGAACTACACGCCGCTGCTTGGTCAGCTTTGTGACGAAGGATCTCCCTTCTCCAGCCCTTTCCTGCTGGATTTCAGACGGTGGCCGCCTGGATGGCTGAAGGTGCTGGAAGTCTCGGGAAGGCTGAGACCACTGTACTTTCAGCTTCACTGCCCACCAGTGGGCGAGGCAGTCTGCATCCTTAAAACATACATTTCACACCCTTTCCTGGTACCCCCAAATCATGCTGGTTACCTGCTGGGCATCTATCGGAAGTGTCCTGATGTTGGCAGAAGAGAGCTGTTAAATGAAGTCCTTATGACCCGGTCTAGGTTTACGGGGAAAAGCACCCAGCTGGTTCCTGGTGGCCGTGGGCAAGAGGCTAGGCAGTGGTGACCCTGTGCTGCGTGTCTGCAGGACCACCCTCCGCACATTCTGCCCTCGCTTCTGCTAAGAGTCACCTCTGTCTCAGTGCGCAGCCCCAGCACCTTTTCCTGGGCAGGGGGAGGGCAGGCCCAGGGCATGAAGCTGTCCAGCCGGTCCTTGTCCTGGTGCACTGACGGGCCAGGTCCTGAGCCTGATCAGAGTCCTGAAGGCACGTGCATGTCCGCCTAAGCCCCGGCAATGCCCAGTGTGCCCCAGGGAGGGGCAGACTCTGTTCCCACACATGAACCTGTGGTGAGCGGTGCAAAGCCAACCAATCGGCCTGAGAATCCAGGTTCTCTTCAGACCAGCATGGGCTGCCCACAGAATGGGCCCGGATGGCCAGGGACAGGTCCTAAGGTAGACCTCGTGTGCTGAGTGCCGCCAGCACAGCCGACACACCCTACAGGGTGGGATGGGACAAACCACAGGCACCGGGAAGGGGCAGAGGAGCCCGGAGAAGACCAATCAGATGCTGTTGGTATGTGAGCAGAGACACCAGAGCCCTACCTTCCACCCCACCAGAGCTCCATTTGAAAGGTCTCAGCCTCTGGAGAGGGGCCAGTCCAGCTGAGAGGTGCTGCAGGGGCGGGGGGCAGGGCCTCAGTGGCAGCCACAGGCCTTGACCACCATGTTGGGGTGTTTGCGCAGGATGACATTGTTGCTGCTGTCGTAGTAGAGCACAGAGGTGGCGCTCAGCTTGGTGGGCGCGCAGCACGCCTTGGGGACTGCATCTGGCTTCATCAGATGCACCTGGCCAGGGAGGGGGTGGCGGGCAGAGGCGTGAGCACCAAGCACTTCTCTCAGGCCCACTGGGCTCCTGCCCCCAGCTCCCATCTGCCCCAGGTGTCCAGCCGCTCGCCAGCACACAATGCAGCTGGTGGCAGGTCCCTTCTGCCTGAAGCCCCTGGAGCACCGTCTCTCCAGGGTCCCCCACAGTCCTCCCTCCTCTCTGTGCTTTCGTAACGTCCCTGATCATGTCTTGGCCACCTTTGCTGTTTACCATCTGTCCCCTGCTCCTGTGACCCAGCGAGTGTTCAGACCAACTGGATAAAGCCTAGGCTTCTAGGTCCGCCCTGGGGTGTCCGACGCCATTATTTCTGGGAGCACTTTTGCCCTCTAACAGCTTCTAAGGCAAGTGTCACTCCGGCAGATGAAGAACCCGAGGGCACACAGGCCATGTGCGCTGTCACCCAGAAGGACTTGGGTCCAGGTGCAGTGACCTGGCTCCCCACTCCAGAACAACTTCACCCACCAAATAGAGCCTGACTGAGGAGCTATTTCGGCCCCTACAAATATTTATCCTGAGACTTGGCAGCATGAGCTGAGTTTACACTGGACTCCTGGTCAGGGCCCCGAGCTGATGGCCCAGAAGGCAATCCTGAGCTATCAGGGGCAGGAGAGTAAGGAAACCTGCTTCCCTCCGCGCGCGCGCGCGCGTGCATGCGTGCGTGCGTGTGTGTGTGTGTGTGGTGTGTCTGCTCCGAGGGCCCAGGACCACCCAGCCCTCTGGGAGGCTGCAGAGCAGGACCCGGATGCAACTGTCTGATGGGGGGACTTGTCCGGCAGCCAGGTCCCTGTTCCCCAATGCCCGGCCTTGTCCCTGAAGCCCCAGCTCTGAGCTCACTGACCAGAAGGACTGTCAGCTGGGCACTGGGCTGGCTTGGGGCCCAGAGCCTCTCTATGGCCCTCTGGGGAAGCTGAGGCCTCTGGGGTGTCCAGTCAGACTAAGACATGGGGGCCGCTTCCCCCCAGCTTCCCAGCCTCCACATGTGATGTCTGGCCCTGGTATTCCCAGACCCACGTGAGAGGGACCAGGCCACATTGCCTGGTGTGCCCATCATGGGCTCTCAGTGGCTGAAAACCAGGGAAGGCCTGTGGACTCGGGACACTGGAGAGTCTGGAGAAAGGCAGGGACGCTGCCTTTCTGTGACCCCACCCAGGACCAGAGCTTCATCGGATCAGTGACAGAAAGAGAAACTGCCTTTTAGGTTCCGTGTGACACCAAACAGATTGATTTGCAGAGTCTAATGTGCCATTCCATTCCATTTGTTTTTGAGCCACTAGGAGACCAAATCAGAGGTTCCATTACTGTGGGTACATTTCAGTCATTTGTGGGCCCCAGTTTTCTGTTCTGCTAAATGAGTATAATGGTACTTTTCCACTTCTAGCACACATGCCTTGCAGCTGCCACGCCAGAAGAGGAACACAGAAGTGTCCCAGACATGGTCTCTGCTCTCATCTCAAGGCCTATGTTAGGGACCCCTGCCCACCCAGCGTCACCTCCCTGGGCCCTCCTTCACTCCTCTCCAGCCCCGCTTCTGCACAGGCTGGAGCCCACCCAGCTGCTCCTGTCCTGGGGCCCGTGGGTCTCTGCCCAGAACGTTCTTCCTCCTCACGCAGAGGCCCAGGCCTCCCTTCTCACAGGACCCGGCTTGTTTGTCAACCACGGTCCCCCCAGAAGGCAGCTGCTGTCCCGTCTGCACCCGTGACAGCCTGAGCACTCGCTCCTGCCCACCCACGGTGGGGACCTGGGGCCTGGACAGAGGTGTGGGAGGGGGAGGGACAGCCTGGAGGTGCAGGTGCGGTCCTCACCCCACACCCCTCACGGGGCCTGGAGACGCACATGCGTGAAGGACGGGAGTCCCGGGGGGCCGTCACACACGGCCTGTCACCCTGAGCTTCACCAGGGAAGGCAGCCCCCGGGGTCCAGCAAATCCCATCTGACGCTGAGAAAAGAGGCAAAGCAGCTTTCCTTACACCCATTTCCTCTCACCCTAAAGCGTCGCCTTGCCGGCCTCTTGCCATGTGAACATAAGGCTTGGGCGTACTAGGACCTAGGAGTCTAGGTGAACATTCCAGAAAGAAGTCTCAACACACACACACACACACACACACACACACACACCATGTAAAACACTGGGCAACAAGCAGCAGCGACTGTCCTCATGGAAACTATTGCTCAGCAGTACAGTGAGCCCGGGCACCAGCACACTGAAGGCCACACTGTCCGTGGGGACAGCAGCGGGGAGGACCAGGAGACAGGGCCGAGGGCAGTGACCGGAAGGGCAGCCCGAGCCCAGAGGGGTCCTGTGCACAAGGCCTCACGGGTGATCTCCGCACTCACTGTGAAGAGGGCGGGTGGACACACGTCTGCCTCCCCTGCCCCGCGTGTGCACGTCACGGGAGGTGGAACAAGCTGGTGTACGGGGCGTGTGTTCACAGCACACGGGAGCCCAGGTGGGAGGCCTGTCTGTCTGGGGTGTGTGTGGGGGGATGACAAGCCGACTGCCTTTGGGAGTCTGGGTCCCACCACATGTACCTGCACGTGTGTGCACAGGTGTGCATGCCAGCATTGAGTCTACACACACACACACACACACACACACGGCGTGGCCACGCAGGGACCAGCGCCTGCACAGGTGTGGGCACTCAACTGCACCTGCGCACAGCCGAGGTGCCACGTGGAGAAACCTCCCTGAGACCCCAGCAGGTGCTCGTGCACCCCCCGCTGTCTGAACCCCCTCTCCGCAGGGCAGCCCGCCCCGGGGTCCAGGCAGGACAGGGTGGGTACTGACCAGGGACTGCACGATGGCGTGGTTGGTGGCGTTCATGCAGGAGTCCAGCGGGAAGGAGCACTCCCCCTCACAGTAATAGGCCGAGTAGCCTTGGGGGGCGATGACCCAATCCTGGGTGGGCGGAAGGAAGAAGGTGAGTCCCACCCAGCACCTGTCACAGGAAGCTTCAGGGTTGCCCCTCATCCTTCTTCACTCAGCCTCAGGGACCTGTTGACCCACCTTGAGCCCCTCCTGGGGCAGGCCCCCCGAAGCCTGACAACCGCCACGAGGGCCTCGGCAGACAGGCCTGGAAACAAGCTCTGTCCCTGTCACCTGCCCTCAGCGCTCAGCACCATGCTCCCAGCCTGTCCCCCACGGCCCAGGTGTCCTGCAGCTGCCATTGCAGCAAAGGCAGACACATGGTCAGCTGGCTTCCCACCCTTCAAGCATGTGTGTCTCCAGACCCTGTGGGGTGTGGGGTGATGACTGCACCCGCACCTCCAGGGCTCATAGCGCCCCTGCCCCTAGGCCAGAGCAGCCCCCTCAGTAAGGGACCCAAAGCAGGACTGGGCACTCGGGCTGTGCTGCTGCAAACAAGCACCTTCCAGGCGGGGAGGCTGGAGATTCAGTTTATCTCCATTTTCATGGGTTTTAACAAAAAGCACTTTCTCACTACACAAGTAATATGTTCTCCCTGCAGAAAACTTGAAAAACAGAAAAAAAAGAACACATGAGAAAATAAAATTCCCCACAATTCTACCACCTTCTGGAGCCACTTATAACCTTCAGGTGGCCACTGTCATTTAAGAAAGTGAGGTGGAGTCTGGTCAAAATGGAGGAAGAGGCAAACCTGGCTGGCCTCCTCACACAACCACAGCAAAAATTACAATTAAAGTACAAAACAACTATCACCCAGAATCAACATAAAATTGAGCTGTATGAAAGTCCAACAACCAAGGAATTAAAGAAGTCACATTCACACGTTAGAACTAATGGGTAGGAGGGACCGAGGTGCAGAGACATGGAGACACAAAACAGGCAGTCCCACACCCACGTGCGGTGGACGAAAATCGGGAGGGATACCTTGGGAGCGAGGGATCCCAGCCCCATAGCAGACAACCCGGCCCAGGGTTCTAGTACCAGGAAGATGAATCCCCACAACTTCTGGCTGTAAAAACCAGTTGGGGTTGAGGTGGCGGAAGATGCTGGGATTCTCAGGTATCTCCTCTTACAAGGTCCGCAATGGTCTTAGGACTTATTCAGACTCACTCTCTTTGGGCTCCAGCACCGGGACAGAGCTGGAAGGGCACCGGTGGCATACGGAGAGAAACGGAAGTGTCTGGCATCAGGGCGAGTGCCTGGGGGAACAGCTTAGTCCCAGACAAAATCCAGAGGCCAGGCAGCAGCCATCTTGCCCTTTCTGAGCCCTCCCCCACGCAGAGCCAAACAAGGGCAACACCGTAGCTGAGACTCCAGTAACCTGGTTCATAAAGGTTGCCCCACCCAGGTGCACCCCATCTGGTTCCTAAGCACCTAAGGCTCCACCGCAGCCATCTTACCCATATGCTTTTCTATCATAGGCCGTGCTCCTGAGACAGGGAGTCAAAGCACCTCTACCTAATACACAGAAACAACACAGGGAGGCTCTAAAACAAGGAGACAAAGAAATACAACCCAAATGAAAGAACGGAACAAAACTCCAGAAAAAGAGCTAAACAAAATGGGGATAATCAATCTCTCAGATGCAGAGTTCAAAACACTGGTTATTAGGATGCTTAAGCAACTCACTGGGTACATCACCAGCATAAAAAAGACCCAAGAAGAAATGAAGGTTATGCTAAGGAAATAAAAAAAAATCTACAGGGAACCAACAGTGGAGTGGATGAAGCTGAGGATCAGATCAATGATTTGGAACATAAGGAAGCAAAAAAAAAAAAAAAATCAACCAACAGAATAGCAACAACAACAAAAAATCCAAAAAAAGGAGGATAGGCTAAGGAGACCTGGGACATCTTCAAGTGTACCAACATTTGAATCATAGGGGTGCTGGAAGGAAAAGAGGAAGAGCAAAAGATTGGAAACTTATTGAAAAAATAATAAAAGAAAATTTCCCTAATTTGGTGAAGGAAATAGACACACAAGTCCAGGAAGCACAGAGATTCCCAAACAAGATGGACCCAAAGAGGACCACACCAAGACACATCATAATTAAAATGCCATGGTTAAAGGTAAAGAGAGAATCTTTTTAAAAAATAATATTTTATACACTTCCGCCAAGATGGAGGCATAGGTGGAGACACCGTGCTTCCTCACACAACCAAGTTTAGAGACAACTAAATAATAGCAACAGAAAACACAGCCAGAACACAGAAAACTGAACTTTTCGGAAGTCTGATAACAACAAATTCTTCAGCCTGACCTGTAAGAGGGGCGAAACCAGCAGCTGGCAGAGCAGAGTAGCACAGGAAAACTCGGTCGGACGGACTCAGGTGCGCGGAATCCAGGCGCAGGGTTGGACCTGGTGGGCAACTCAGCAAGCAATCGCGGGGAAACAGCCAGGGAGCAGGGCTGCGGGTTGACTGTGGTCTCCCATTCGTGTGTGGATAGACAAGCGAGGGAGTGGGTGATTGGACGAGAACAAGCAGCCCCAGCAGCAAGCGCAGTAGAGGGCACCGGGCGCCATTTCCCGCTCTAACCCCGCCTCCACATACAGCGTCATAATCCAGCGACCTAAGTGGCCCCGCCCCAGTGAACCACCTAAGACGCTGCTCTTCACCCAGCTGCAAGAAACAGCAGAGGGGGCCGCCATTTCCCCGCTCTGACCACGCCCCCACATACAGAGTCACAACCCAGCGACCTGGGAGTCCAAGGCTCTGCTCCTCAGACTTAACGGGCGCGAACAGACCAAAAATGGCTCAAGAAGATCTCAAACCCCCGGAGCCTATAAATCTAAGAGATGAAGAAATAGCAAAACTCTCAGATGCACAGTTGAAAACACTGGTGATCAGGATCCTCACAGAACTGGTTGATTATAGCCACAAATTAGACAAACATATGAAGGTGAAACTAATTGAAATGAATGGAATTGCACAGGAAACCAATAGCAATGAAAAGGAAACTGGGACTCAAATCAAGGGAGTGGACCAGAAGAAAGCAAATAATGTCCAAACAGAAAAGAGTGAAGAAGCAAGAATTCAAAAAAAATGAGGAGAGTCTTAGGAACCTCCAGGACATCTTTAAACACTCCAACATCCGAATTATAGGGGTACCAGAAGGGGGAAAGGAACAGCCACCAATGGAAAACTTATTTGGACAAATAATAAAGGAGAATTTCCCCAACCTGGCAAAGGAAATAGACTTCCAGGAAATCCAGGAAGCTCAGAGAGTCCCAAAGAAGTTGGACCCAAGAAGAAACACACCAAGGCACATCATCATTACATTAGCAAAGATTAAAATGAAGGAGAGAATCCTAGAAGCAGCAAGAGCTAAGGGGACAGTCACCTACAAAGGAGTTCCCATCAGACTGTCAGCAGATTTCTCAAAAGAGACCTTGCACGGGCAAGAAGGGGATGGAAAGAGGTATTCCAAGTCATGAAAACCAAAGACCTACAACCAAGATTGCTCTATCCAGCAAAGTTTTCATTTAGAATGGAAGGGCAGATAAAGTGCTTCTCAGATAAGATCAAATTCAAGGAGTTCATCATCACCAAGCCCTTATTATATGAAATGTTAAAGGGACTTATCTAAGAAAAAGAAGTTAAAAAAACATGAACAGTGAAAGGACAACAAACTCACAGTTATTAACAACCACACCTAAAACAAAAGCAAACTAAAAGGACAGCTAGATCAGGGGTGGAAACATAGAAATGAAGATCTCAAGGAGGGTTAGCAACAGGGGAGTGGGAGGAGAAGAAAAGGGGAGAAGTTACAGAAAATAAGTAGCATAGACAGTAGATAGAAAATAGATGGGGGGGGCAAGAATAGTATGGGAAATATAGAATCCAAAGAACTTGAGACACATGGCCATAAACTAAAGGGGGGGGGTAATGGTGGGAATGGGGGAGTAGGGTGGAGGGGAATGAAGGGGGGAATAGAACAACTGTAACGGCATAATCAATAAAAAATAAATTAAAAAATAATATTTTATTTATTTTTAGAGCGAGGGGAAGGGAAGGAGAAAGGGAGGGAGAGAAATATCAATGTGTGGTTGCCTCTCATGTGCTCCCTACTGGGGACCCTGCCTCCAACTCAGGCACATGTCCTGATTGGAAATCGAACCAGCAACCCTTTGGTTCACAGGCCTACGCTCAATCCACTGAGCCACACCAGCCAGAGTTAAAGAGAGAAGCTTAAAAGCAAGAGGAAAGCAGAGCGTTACCTACAAAGGAGTTCCCATAGGCTGTCAGTTTCTCGAAAGAAACTTTGCAGGCTAGAAGGGACTGGCAAGATATATTCAAAGTGATGAAAAGCAAGGATTCACAACCTAGATTACTCTATCCAGCAAAGCTATCATTTAGAACGGAAGGGCAGATAAAGTGCTTTCCAGATAAGGTCAAGTTAAAGGAGCTCATCATCACCTAGCCGTTATTATATGCAATATTAAAGGGACTTATCTAAGAAAAAGATCAAAACTATGAACATTAAAATGGCAACAAATTCACAACTATCAATAACTGAATCTAAAAAAACAAACTAAGCAAACAAGCAGAACAGGAACAGAATCATAAATCGGGAGATCACATGGAGGGTTATCGGCATGGAAGGGGAAGAGGAAGAATGGGGGAAGGTGCAGGGATTAAGAAGTACAAATAGGTAGTTGCAGAATAGGCAGGGGGGTGTTAAGAACAGTATAGGAAATGGAGAAGCCAAAGAACTTGTGTGTGTGTTCCAAGGACATGAACTAAGGGAGGGAATGGGGCATACAGGGTGGAGAAGGGCAAAGAGGGAAAGATTGGGATGTAATACCATAATCAATAAAATATATTTAAAAAACAAAAGTGAGCAAAAGCAGCACTTACCAGCCAGCCGAGGTCCTGGAAGCTGACATAGAGCTCGTGCCGTCGGCAGACCTGCCGGCCGTGGGAGCCGTGGATGTCATCTGCAGGGGACAGATGGCACAAAGTCTTTTCTGGGGTCTCGCTCGGTGCAGCTACTGTGGGGGCGCCCAGGGCGGGGATGCCCTGGTGGGCACACTTGTGGGATAAATGAATGACAGGAGGCTAAACTGTTTGATCTCATAAGGCCCCTCCCTGCAGCGCTGCTGGTGCCGGGACCCAACTCAAGAGCCTCTGATGGCTCCAGAGTCCCCCACGCTCAGCCCAGCTCCCCAACTTCTGCCTCTGGGCCTCCTGATGCCCCGGAAACAGCCCCAGGCGCCTGCCATCAGGCTGGGGCACACCCTGCTTTCCTCCTGAGACACATCCTGCCCTCGCCCCACCTGTCCTGCCACACCCATCCCACAGGTGCAGTGGCTCAGCGGGAGCCAGCCACAGGGCCGACCCCCGTGAAGGAAAGGAAGGCACAGGGCGGGGCAGGCCCGCCCCGGTCCTGAGGGTCTTGGCAAGATGGGGGACCTTTGCCTCGACAGCCGTGCATCCTGCAGGCTGCCTGGGAGAGAGCCGAGGGCCACAGGGCGGTGCTGCCCGGAGGGAGGACCCCTGACGGGAAGGCCTGGTGAGCAGGGGGAGGGCAGAGAAGGGACTTCCAGGTGGCGGGGAGGACTGACAGTGCAGTGGCCGGTCCACAGGGGGCCTGGGGCAGAGGAGGGTGTCCGGAAAGGCGGCTGGAGGGGTGACCATAGTTTGAGCCCTTCTCAGGGCCAGAAGACTGTCACCACCACTGGCCCTTGGCCACAAGCCTGTGGACCTGAGACCCCAGCCCCACGGGCCTCACCAAAGATCCCCGGGAGCTTGTTCGGCTGCGGCAGCTCGTTGGTTTTTTTCGGCAGCCTCCTCCTCAGGGACCTCACTGCCCGAGGGACTCGGGTGGGGTTGGGGCTCTCCCTGAAAAAAGTGACCATGAAAGGCTGTTTGGAGCGCGGTGCCCGTCGCCCCAGCAGACCGGCCAGGCCAGGATCCACGCTGCGCCCTGAGACAGAGAGAGGAAAGACAGCGGTCACTCGAGGGCGGTGGCTCCACGCGGGGACACAGCCGGGGCCTCTGCCGGGGCCAGGCAGGCCCAGACACAAAAGCTGAGGACCTGGGCTTCCTCAGCTGAAGACTGGAGCCCCCGGTCTGGCCCCAGGCCCCTGGCAGGTGGGTCTGGAGGAGATGGTGGGAGGAGGGCCTGGCAAACCACAGGGTCAGCAAGGGTGACAGTCATGTACACGGCTGCATGTGAGGCATTTCACAGCTTTCAGTGTCATTTTGCACTGAGGGTCTCGCTCGTCTTTACAGTAATCCTGGACCTCACATGTCACTGGGAAACTTCACAGTCACTCCGTGGTCTCCCAGAGCCCCATGGCCAGGGACCCACCTTGGTCTGAGGACTTCTGGCCCCCCCATTTCTGGGGGTGTTAAGGTTGGATGGATGACACCCAGTTGATTGGAGCAGCTGTCAGGGCTGGGTCGTGCCTGCCCTGCTGATCAGTGCCCAAGAGGGGGCGCTCTCTCTTCCCTGATGCCACAGACCAACTCCAGGCTCAGAGGGGCAGAGGCACTGGACCAAAGTCCCAGAGCCAGGGTTTAACCGACATCAGTCTAATTCCAGAGCCCAAGTTCTTATCCACAAGACCCCACCAGTGATTCAAAAAAGAAAGAGAGCTCTGGCTGGTGTAGCTCAGGTCTGTGGTGGTGATTGAGCACAGGTTTATGAACCAAAGGGTCAGTAGTTCAATTCCCAGTCAAGGCACATGCCTGGGTTGCAGGGCAGGTCCCCAGTAGGGGTGCATGAGAGGCAACCATGCACTGATGTTTCTCCCCCACTCTTTCTCCTTCCATTCCCCTCTGTCTAAAAATAAATAAATAAAATATTAAAAAGAAGAAGAAAAGAAAGAGAGGGCTGCAGGCAGGGACGTGATTGGCGCCTCAGCCCCAGGAAGAGTGAGGTCTATAAAAACGGGATTTCACCCACAGCCATAAAGACTGAGGCCGCCGTGAAGAGCACTCATTAGCCTGCAAGTGTCGGCTCCGCCAAGGAAACCATCCTCCTGGGCCTCTTTGTCTTCCCAAACGAGCTCTGGGTGTTTAATTGTCAAAGCAATATAGTAACGACTATAAAAAGGCTTTTGAGGAAAACTCATACACCGTCATTTTCTTGGAGATGAGTTTATCATTGTACATTTAGGTTACTTCCTGGCTTTCATTATAAAGAAGAGAATGAGACAGAACCTCTTCATTTTCTTTTCCTGTGGGATTTTAACAACAGGAGCATGATTACTAACTCATTTTCATTTCCTAAACCCCAGGGCAACTGTTCCACTTCCGGTGCATTTCCTCACTGCTGCATCACTGATACACACACACACACACACACACACACATCTGCATGAAGTGTGTGTACGCACACATACGTAGGTATATATATATAAGTCCCATCAGCAGGTCTGACATGATTCTGCATCACACGCTATAGGTCAAGGACATTGCCTGTCCCACCCACGATCCTGCTCAAAGGTCAGCTCTTAAATGGCTGAGCTTTAGACTGTGTCCATGGGCCTTAGTGAATTGAACAGCTAATTAGTCCTGAGACCCACCTTTGACCTATGCCTTCACCTGCCACAAAGCCGTGAGCCAGGCCCATCAGAGGCCCCACTCAGGATGGGACCTGCTAAGACAGGGGCTGCAGCTCCAGGGAATATTGCTGGAGGAGCTCAGATAAAAGCCATTTTGGAGACTTTGGGTCATGGCAAGTTGCAGTCATGAGGAAGCAGTGGAGCCATGAGGACACAGGATGCCAGACGCATGGCAGGCCTGGGAAAGGCCACTGAAGTGACAACGAGGGGGCAGCAGTGCAGATAGGAGCACCCGGGGGGCTGTCACCAACACGGCACTGGAGTGGAGCTCCATGGCCTGGCCGACACATGGGGACAGCCTCGGGCCCAGGTGGCCCTCTGGGCCTGCGTGTGCACTGCCCTGTTCCTTGGAAAGCCCTGTCCACTGAGGGGCTGGGGGACTGACTGGTCCCCTGAGGCTGTGTTCACTCTTTGCTTTTCTTTGTGCAAATGCCAGTTCAAGGATTTTACTGGGGTCTCCTGGGTGTAGAGAGAACGACAGAGTGGATCAGTTAGGCAATGCCAAGGAGGCAGCAGGCCGAGGCAGGCCTGTCGGGGGCACTGGGGGCCTGACCGAGGATCCTGACACAGCTGATCTCCGGCTCTCATCTCATAGAAGCAGAAGCTAAGGCCCATGAGAGCAGCACCTGTGCAAGGTCCGAAGCAAGCTGCAGCCCAGCCAGCACGCTATACAGAGGCCTGGCCAGGGTAGTGGGGTGCCAGGGGACTGACCCCTGGTCTTTCAGAAGGCCTACTCTGGGAGGCCTGGGAAAAGACCCCCAGGCCCTCCTCCCGGAGCCCAGAGCTCCCCTTCCAAAGGGCTCTGCTCCCTGCCCACCCCATCTTGAGCAGGGCTCCCCACCTTCTCCTGACTGTGTGTGTGGGGGCCCTAGCTGTACATAAACACACCAGCTCTGGCAGGTCCCTTTCCAGAAAGGCAGTGGTGGGAGCTTAGGGGACTCAGGGTCCTGGCTCCCTGCCTCTAGACCTGTGTGTGGGTGCTGGCAGGCACCGGGTGTGTGGGGCCCTGCCTGGAGGTGTGGGCCACACAGGGCTTCCCCCTGAGGCCCAGACAGACAGGCTGCTCCTCTGAGCAGGGGGGCCCCATGAAACTTCCAGCTTCACCCACGTCAGCGTCTGCCCCATCAGGGCCCAGATGTCTTGGCAGCTCACTAGCCCTCTCCTTCCCGGGGCAGGTGTGGAGCCCTAGTCATGCCCCTCCCCAAATATGCCAGGCCCAGATGGCTGCCATCTCTCCCCTAGGCTCTGGGTGGCACCCGACCCTTCCCTGCAGCCCCTGCCCAGGTCATGGATGTGACCCTGCTGCCACGTTGAAGGGCACTCAGGGTGCATGGGTGACACCTGAGGGGAATCCCAGCTGTTAACCTGGTCTGTTTTAGTCCCGCAGGTGTGACTTCATTGCCCAGATGGGAAACTCAATCCTTTCCCTTCTTTCTGCCGCGTAGCAGCCCTGTCACTGGTCTGCCCTGGAACCTCTGCCTGCTCCGTGTGCTGATGAAAAGTTCTCCTGACACCCGGGGTACACCTACCAAGAAGCCCCCACTGGTTCCCCCGAGCACTTGATGACATTCCATGCCACCCACCCCCATCTGGTCATGGTCCCCAGCCACTACCCCCACATCCTCAAACTGTCCCCTCGGTGAGCACTGTCCCCCACCTCTCCATTCCAGGCTCCTTCACTTCCTTGGGGGTGAGGCCCCAGTGAGGCCTCCCTGAAAAGCCTTCCTTGTCCAGCTGGAATTTCCTGCTCTTACCTAAGGGGCTCCTGTTGGTCGTGCGCCCCCTAGAGCTACGCTTAGGAAGTGCGAACTCCACATCAGATTTTAACAGCCCTCCACTCCCCAAAACACACACATATAAATTCACTTTTTTTCCCTTGGCCTTGACACTAAGGATTTGGGGTAAAATACCTCACAGCCTGCTCTTGGGTTACAAGAGAGCATTAACGAGCATCTGGATTGGGCTCCACAACAGAGACAAAGGATCTACGTGTCTGTTCAGGACGACGCAGGAACACCGTGGGTTAAGATGAGCAAACCCATCTCAGTCCATTGGTTAGGTTTCTAGAACTCCTCCCATCACACGCCACAGCCTTTGGCAGCACGCGGGGGACAATTTATGGAGGAGACTTCCTGGTGGCTTGTCGGCCTGACAGTCCCTTCCCCTTCAGCACCTCCCATTACCCGGTCACTGTCCCCCTCAGCAGGTTCTGCTTCCCTTCCAGAGACACCTATTTAGCAATGAGGAGGAGACACGTGGGGCTGGAGAAGGTGAGGCTGCAGGGAAACAGAACTTAGCCTCAAAAGGAAAGGCCATGAACGAAAACCCAGAAGGGGCAGAAGAGGCCCTGGCTGTTGGGCTCAGTGGGCTGATGATTGCTGGCCTGCGAACCAGAAGGTCAGTCTGATTCTCGGTCATCTCCCGCTCTTCCTTCCTCCCTTCTCCTCTCTCTAAAAATAAATAAATAAACACTAAACAAATAAAGTTGAGACAAACTAGAAATAAAAGAAAGATGGCCAAAGGAAAGAATCTCTCATTCAGACAGCATGTCCTCAGACCACACACGGACAGACTTTCACGTTCCTGTGTTTTTCATGGAGCTAGTGAAATGGTGCCTTGGCTACACTCTCCGGGGAGCTGCCCCCCCCCCCATTTTCGCCACTCGTCATTCGTTCACGAGGGAAGAAATCCCTCCTGTGGGGTCATCTCGGGCAGCGCAGATTTGACGTGAACACCGCAGGGAAGAGGGCAGCCAATGTCCTCAGCGCCTGCGGCAGAGCTTTCTGCGGACTCAGAACACACACGCTAATCATCTCTGCTCTCCTTTTGTTTTATTTAAAGTCATTTCCCTCTTGAGAGAGCAGAGTCTTTCTAGCCTGAGATGCAGGAGAAGACTGATGAGACTGCTTATGAAACGGAGGAAGGCGATTCCCGGCTTCCTTCCAATGATGTCCTGAGATTCAGCAGAAAGCCACCGCCCCGAGAGCAAGGCCTCCTTCCTGGTCAGGGTGCCACCTGCTGCATGGGCCTGACGTCGGGCGAGACGGCGAAGGTGCTCCCGGTGCTCTTTCGGATGTCCTCCACGGTCAGGCCTTCCCAGAGCTCAACCAGCATCAGGCCTTTCTTCTTGTGCACGTCGAACACGGCCTTTTCCGTGATGATTCGGTCCACGCACCGCTTCCCAGTCAGGGGCATCGTGCACTTCTCCAGGATCTTGGGCTCCTTGGCCTTGTTGCAGTGCTCCATGGTGACCACCACTCTGGTCTTGACGCTGGACACCAGATCCATCGCACCCCCCATCCCCTTCACCTTCTTCCCGGGGATCATCCAGTTGGCCAGGTCACCGTACCTGGAGACCTGCATGGCTCCCAGCATGGTCAGGTGGAGGTGTCCCCCTCGGATCATGGCAAACGAGTCGTCGCTGGAGAAGAAGCAGCCCCCGGGAAGAATGGTGACTGTTTGCTTGCCCGCGTTGATGAGATCTGCATCGGCCTCGTCCTCTGTCAGTGGGAACGGACCCAGGCCCAGGATTCCGTTTTCGCTGTGAAGGTGAACAGTTAAATTGGGGCTGATGTAGTTGCTGGCCAGAAGGGGGATTCCTATGCCCAAGTTGGCGTACATGCCATCCTCAAATTCCAGAGCTGCCCGTTTGATGATTCGTGTTCTTATGTCATCTGAAGACTTGGGTTTTTCATCTTCCTCTTTCCGGATTGTTAAGTGCTCAATTACTTTCTTATACTTCTTCCCCTGGATCACACGATCTACATAAATGTGAGGAACATGAATGTCTTCTGGGGCAAACGACCCCACATCCACGATTTCTTCAACCTCCACCACTGAGATTTCCGCAGCTTTGCACATGGGCACGTTGAAATTCCTGGCGCTCTTCCTGAAGATGACGTTCCCCGCACGGTCGGCCTTCCACCCTTTCACCAAAGCAAAATCCGCCGTGATGGCGCGCTCCAAGAGATAGTGCTGCCCGTGAAACTCCCTCACCTCTCTGGGCTGACTCATGATGGCGATGTGGCCGTCATGGTCGTACCTGATGGGGGCGCCTCCTTCCTGGACCAGGGTCCCGTAGGCCGTGGGCGTGTAGAAGGCCGGCACCCCCGCCCTGCCGGCGCGGATGCGCTCGGCCAGGGTGCCCTGGGGCGTCATCTCCAGTTCCAGCTCTCCCGCCAAGAACTGCTGCTCACAGAGCAGGTTCTCGCCCACGTAGGAGCAGATGATGCGGGTGATCTGCTTGGTCCCCAGTAAAAGGCCCAGCCCAAAGTTGTCCATGCCCACGTTGCTGCTGACCACGGTCAAGTTCCTCACGCGGGTCTTGAGCAGCGCCCCTATTAGGTTCTCGGGAATCCCACAGACCCCAAAGCCGCCGACCATGATCTTCGTTCCATCGGCGATGTCCTTCACGGCCTCCACGGGGTCCGTGTAAAACTTGGTGCGGGCACGAGCGCTGGTGACGAAGGAGTAGATGCTGCTCCTCAGCGCAAGCAGCCGGTGAGGACGCACTGCGGGAGTGATGTCGCCAGGAACAGCAGAGAGACCATCTTCTGCAGATGCTCCAGGCCCCCTGGGTCGCATATAACTGAGCAGGGAGGGCACCCAGGCGGCGATGTGCCAGCCCTCGGGTGCCTCCACGCGGCTCAGCCACGCCTCCCACCAAGGGGCATGCGAGGCTTTCAGCCTCCCTGCCCTGGAACTGCAGACAGCGCGGTGGGGGAGGAGACCTGCCCCTGGACTGCCCTCTCTGACGGTGGGGGCAGGCGGGGGCACACCCACACAGCCGCCCTGGTTGGGCCTCCCAGCGGTATCACTCAGAGGAAGACTCAGTCGCAGGCCCCTCCGGCTCCATTGCTGAGCTCCTTCCCCAGTGGCCTGCTCCAGTCTCAAGACTCTAAACCCACTTTTATGGCTGTGGTCCCCACACCGGTGTCTCCAGCACGCACCTGTCCCGGAACGACACGTTTGTGGGCCTCTGCCAGGGCCATCAGTGCTCTCGGGCTGGAGAGAAGTCTCCACCCGCAACCTCAAACCCACACTTCCTCTACTCTTCCCAACAGGCCAGGAAAAATCTATCTATCTATCTATCTATCTATCTATCTATCTATCTATCTATCTATCTACATATATACATTTACATATTTATATGTAATATATAAATACATATATATTTAAATCCACTGACACACAGAGGACAGACTGATGGTTGTCAGGGGGTGTGGGGTTGGCAGTGGGTAAAGAAGGTGAAGGGATTGAGAAGCACGAATTGGCAGTTACAGAGTAGTCACAGGGCATAAGGTACCGCACAGGAATACAGTCAGTAATACTGTCACAACCGCAGATGGAGCCAGGGGGGTGCGGAAATATCCGGGGAACCCTGTGTAAAGTACACAATTGTCTAAGCTCCACACTGCACACCTGAAACTATTATAAAATATACTGACTGTAAACTGTAATTAAAAACCAATCCACCGGCTCCGTCGACTTTACCCCTGATTCCTCTGCCCACTTTCCTCGGTTTCTGCTGCTCCCCGCCCCCCACAGCCCTCACCTGGACACCGTGGCTCCCGGGGCCACTCGGGCTTCACGTCACTCTTGTCTCCCACAGTTTGCATGGCCCACTGAAGTCAGGGGGTGTCTATTTTATGCACACGACACATAAAGTTCTTACTTTACACTGGCTAAGATCTACGGAAAAGTTGCAGTCGGTATAGAGACTTCCCACGTACCCGGACACAGTGCTCCCTGGGAAATGCTCACATTTCAGTGACTGTGGTACATTTGTCACAACGAATGGACCAATATCAGTGTCTTCTTATTTTCTAAACAGCACCGTTTATTCTGACTTTGTTAGCTTCCCCCAGTGTCCTTTTTCTCTCCCAGGTCCCCATCCTCAGGCCCCTCCAGGCTGTGACACTTTCTCAGGCTTTCCTTGTGTTTGGCGACCTTGACGGTCCCGAGAAGTACTTGTCTGGCATTCTGCAAGCTGTCCTTCAACACGGGTCTGTCCGGTGTTTTTCTTATGGTTATGACACTGGGGTTATGGGCTGGGGGTCTCACCCACTCATACCCAGGGTGCACAGGAGCCACGTGACTTACTCACGGGAGCCTGGGTCACCTGGCTGCGGTGGTGCTGGCCAGCCTGTCCACTGTCCAGGCCCCTCCCCTTCCCCGCACTCTGTCCTGTGGGAAGCGGGTCATCGAGGGCAGCCCACACTGAAGGGGTGGGGTGAAGCCACACATCCTGGAGGGATCTTCTATGAAAAGCTGAATCAGATCCCACATCCTCCAAGGCCAGTAAATCCAAAAGGCTCCCTGAAAACTCCAGTCCCTCACCCTGGTTCACCCTGACTCAGGACGCCCCCTGCCTGCCTCTTTGTCTCCTCTCCTCCCAACCTCTCCCTGACCGGCTCTGCTCCAGCCATGGCGGGCCCTTGCTGTGCTCACGCAGGCCAGTCTGGGGCCCGCCTTCGGGCTCTCTATCCCCACCGCCCAGGACACAGGAGGCTCGGCCCCCGGACACCTGGTGAATGAGTGCACGTGTGAGTCCTCCTGCAGGTGAGGAAACTCGGCTTGGAAGGGAAGGGAACGTGCCGAGGTGACAGCTGGAAAGCTGCAGAGCTGGGGTTCAACCAGGCCTCTCTGATCGGAGCCCCCAGGGGAAGGTTAACCTCCGCCCCCCCCCCAGTCTTACCGTCCTCCGTTTCCACGTAGAGGCGGAGTCCCAGGTCCTCGTTACGGTTCGACAACCAGCGGTCACTGGCTGCTGTCACGTCCAACACCAGCCAGCCTTCGTCCTCAGCTCGGAGCGTCTGAAGATCCAAAAAGAACAAGTCAGACTCCCTGTGGATATGAAAGAACAATTAACCGGAGCCGGCACAGCTGCCTCCGTGTTTCCAGTGCCCACTGGGGGACCCTCGTGGGGCATCGACCCTCCTGGCTCTGAGCTGGGCGCCTACTGCCCTATCTCACTGCATCTCCCGTACGAACCTGCCGCTGCCCCTGGAGACGGTGGGGGAACTGAGACTTGGGAGCTCAGTGACTTGTCCAAGGTCCCACAGCCAGGGCGGCAGGCAGGGAGGTGGCTTGAAGCCAGGGTGCCAGGGCCTTGGAACAAGCATCCTTCGTCAGAAGGGTGTGCCCCAGGAAGCTCCCCGTCTGTCCTCTGGGGAACGTTCCCCACAAGGCTGGGCCAGACACACTGACAGAGGCCTGACCGGCAGGCTGGCAGGGGCAGGCACCTGTTGGCTTGCTCCCTGACCACCTCGAACACGCTGACGTGCAGGGTCCTGTTGAGCGGGTGGGTGCTGGGCAGCTTGTAAATCCGGAACTCGGCGGCTGTGACCGTCTCCCCCCGCCGGGATCTGGGTCAGGTCAAAGCGGAACTCCTTCCAGTGGGGTTCCTGGTGGCCCAGGGCGCGGTCGAGCTCCACTGCAAGACACAGCAGGCTGGTGTTCACTCCTGGTTTTGGGCTCAGGCTCCAGGGTGGCAGGGCCTGGTGGGACCCAGGGGCCTGGGCTGCCTGCGGGGGAAGCATTTCCTCCTTGGGGAACGGGCTTGACTGCATCATGCTGACCTGTGAGCCCCACAGTGAGGTGCCCAGCACAGCATGTGCCACGCAGTCAGGGCCAACAAGGGCAGCTTCCCTTTCTGGGTCCCAAGCCTCCGACCCAGCAGGGCCCTGCTCAGCCCCTGCTGGCTCTCACTCTGGGACCCACAGATGAGGCAGAGAGGACAGGTCCCTCCCCTGGAGGGGACTTCAGCTCCATGGCAGAGTGGCCACATGGTGGGCACAGACAATGACTGAGTGCATTTCAGAGGCTACCGATGTGTGTGGATGGGACGTGGGGACGGTGAGCACTCACAGCTGACACTGGGCCTTGAGGGGTGACAGTGAACTTGCCAGGAGGTCATGGGAAAAGGATGCTGTAGAGGAAGGGACCTGCATGAGCAAAAAGGCCTAGAGCTGAGGGACTAATGGCACAGGCAGGAAAACAACAGCCATAAAACACAGCAAAGGGCCAAAGGATGGCAGGTACTTTCAGAACAAGGATGAGGGAGGGCCAGAGGGCGGTGGGAAGGAACAAGGAGAAGCAAGGCAGGAGCGACAGCTCCCGGAGAGGCTCTGTGAGGTGCTGGGGAAGTCCCATGGTGTGGTGCGATCAGAGCAGGCTTCCTGGAAGAGGTGACATCTGAACTGGACTTGGAAGATGGATGGAGTCTTGGCAGGTGGAGAGGTGGCCAGGAGGGCCTTCTAGGCAGAGGGGACATCATATGCACAGATTAAATGGGCCAGGGCCACCCACACATCAGCAGGGTTGGGTACGTGGTGTGAGTCTGGCTGTGGCCTGACTGCATAGGGCTGGAGTTGCAGCCTAGGAGCATGGGCTGTGCCTCTGGCCCGTGGGGGCCAGGGTTCCAGCAGCAGCAGCAGGTGACTGGTGTGGGGTGGAAGCTGTGCTGGAGGGGCAGTGAGGCACAGGCTGGAGGGGACCCCAGGTGGCCCCATTGCGGGGGGTGGCCCAACACTTTGGGCAAGAGGCCTGGGGTATAGAATAAATCCCACATATTCCCAGCTGCCGGAAATGCCCAGCACGGTATATTTAGGGCCATCTCATTTTAGCCTCTGTCACTTTCAAACACTAAAAATCTGTGTTTCCGGAAAGCAGGGGCGGGAGCCACCCAGCACCTTCCCCAAAACCCAACACTGAGATTTTAATTATATGTCTGTGAGTCTTTTTAAAAACTCTCTCTGGCTCCCGGGCTCAGTGACCACAAGTCACCAGGCGGGTGGCGGAGGTGGCTGTGGGGAGCACTTCCTGTCTTTGCGGTGGGAGCCTGGTCCAGCGATGGGCGGGGCAAACAGCTGCGCTGCGTGGGGCCAGCGGGCACAGGTGTTTGGGCAGGAGGAGAAGAGGGTTCCATCCCCAGACCCGGGACAGGAGGAAATAAAATGTCCATTATTAGGGCACCGGACACGCAGCAAATGCCCTCGGGAGCCGGGCTGTCTCAGACACGCAGGGTGGCGTCGGGTCCTCCGCCCGGGCAGCGAGCGCGGAAGGCAGGCGTCCGGACAGACACACTCACGTACACACACCACTTTGGTGACAATTCCTGTGGATTCAGGATCACACAAACCACATCTTCAGGACAAAGCAGGTCCAGGCTGTTGGCTGTCACAGGCTGTGGCACAGCAGGAAGGGCTGCCTTTCCTCCACACCCTGCACCAGACGCTGTCAGAGCAGCGTTCTGTGACCTGGCCCAGGGCGCAGCGGAGCTGACGGGGTCACTGGGAACCTCTGCAGGCCTGACGCCGATTTTCACGTTGGACTCGGGGACTGAGGGAACAACCCACAGACCTGCCAGTGCCACACAGGCACGGAGCCGGGCGGCCTCCCTCCTTTGCTAGGTCAAGGCGCCTGGTTCACCTGAACTGACTCTAGTTCCAAACTTCCATTCTGCAAGTTCTGAGAAACCACCCAGTAGCTCCGGCGCAGGAAACTGCCCACCTGGCTGCACCAGGCAAGCTCCGGAAGATGAAACATTTTTCAGAAAATAATGCTTTTAATCAGAAACTGATAAAACTTTCAGTAAGTGGTCAAAGGGATCTCTCCCTCTCTTTGCTGGAATTCTGTGGATGTACAACTTTTCAGAGTTTGCTCCTTTGGGTTAGGGAAGATATTTCTTCTCAAAAGCTGAGTGAGGAAACAGCATTTGTAGGTACTTGGAGTTTCCCCTGTGGAGTTGCTGGCAGGTGTCCTACTATAAGCCACTAAGACAGCCCTGAGAAGGGGAGCTGCGCCGGCCGGCAGCCGGAGCTCCTGGTCCCAGCCCTGACCAGTACTTTCCCTGTGTGGGCTCAGTCTCCTCATCTGTGAAGTGGGGATATAAGGCATCTTTCCGTACAGGGCTGAAAGGGCTTTGTATAGGGCAGAGATTATGAGATAGGAGCGATGGCTACCCCTTCGGAGTCAGGATGGCTGCTGACCCCTAACTTCGACCTTAATCGATGTATCGCAGTGATAACCTCCTGCAAGCACCATTAGGAGATTCATGTGTGGAACTGAAGAGCCATGGGGGGAAAGTGGAGTTAGCTGATTGCTTTTTCTAAATAAAAGTATAAAATAAAAGATAATAGACCATCCAATAAATCAATTCAGCTGAAAGGCATTTGGATGGCGTTGAGGTGCCTCCTTTGTCAAGGCTCTTGATCCTCTGGGCCTCAGCATGCACATCTGCAAAATGGCCACTTGCTACCTACTAGGTCAAAGAGAATTGTACAACGCCACGTTTGCTATTGTGGCCGATACTTGGTTATGATCCAGCAAGCGCTTCTAACACATTTTCAGGAGCATTTCCTTTGCAGTACCCCTTCATGCTCGGCCTCCCCCTTCCCTTTAACCACGGTCTGGAATCTCCCAAAGACGCCCGGGCTCGGACAGGCAGCCCCTCAGCAATGCCACGGGGGCCATGGCCTGAGTTGTGGCTCAGGCTCAAAGCAGACACTGGCAGACCCTTTCTTCGTGAAAATGCTGAAGATTCCAAAACGTCAAGCTCTAATGACAGAGCGTTTCCACACACCTGGAGACGGAACCTGGGAGTTCGCACCCTGTGTGGGCTCCTTCCGCTGCAGTGGCCCTCCCCCTGCCATGTGATGCTGAAATAACGGGGTGAAATCCAAGTTGGACTTGGCTCATTGCCACTCCCTATCCTGCTGCTATTGTTTGATGACCCTCAGAGGGAATTTATGGGAAAAGCCAAGGAGTGTACAATGTGATTTCTCGGGTTTTCCCAGTAAATTTTGCTCCCGGTTGTGGGGTTGGGTAGTTCATTCCTGGGTCCCCTGGCGGATTCAGACAGGCTGAGTTGGGGGGGGGGTGCACACTCCCTTCCCAGCTTGTGTTCTGGATCCTGGACATTGAGATATGTCCTGCCAGGGGTCCCCTCGCCTGGATTGATTACTGGCCTGCGAACCCAAAGGTTGCTGGTTCAATTCTCACTGAACCAGGCTGGTTCAGTGCCTGGGTGGGGGCCAGGTCCCCAGCTGGAGGCACGAGCGAGGCAACTTATCAATGTATCTCTCACACATGGATGTTTCTCTCCCTCTCTTCCTCCTTTCCTCTCCCTTTAATAATCAATAAATAAAATCTTTAAAAAAACACAAAAAAGCGGCCTTGTCTTCACCTCTGCACCTTTACTTCCCAAACCATCTCTAGATGGTGCCACTGTCTCCTAGGAGACTGAGAACCACTGTCTTTGGTTCCTGCTGGGAATCAGTTCCTCCAGAAGAACCAGGCAGAAGGAACAGTAAATGCAAAGGCCTCGCACGTTCCAGAGACACCCAGGAGGCCAGCGGGGCTGGAATCGAGTGGTCCAGGGATGCGGTGTCCGAGACGGGGCAGGACTGACGAGCAGGGCCAGCTCTTGGTTCTGCTTCCCAGCCCCTTAAGAACTCAGCATGGCGACTCCAGCGGTTTCCACGAAGCAGGAACAACCGGACGAAGCTCAACCACCGCTGCTGCTGGGAGGGCCCCTGACCCTGTGAGGCGGGTTGGAAGCCCCCGGAGTTTCCTGTGGCTGACAGAGACTTTCAGTCAGCTCCATGGACACCGGGGCAGGTGGGACGTGGACCCAGCGCTGGGGACAGTAATGCCACTGCTGTTTCCACAGGTACCTTATTTTCTAGAAATTTCACTTGGGGAAACACTCAAAGGGTTTACTTTCTTTTTTTTTTTTTTAAGATTTCATTTATTTATCTTCAGAGGGGAAGGGAAGGAGAGAGGGAGAGAAATATCAGTGTATGGTTGCCTCTCGTGAGTCCCCTGCTGGGAACTGGCCTGCAACCCAGGCATGTGCCCTGACTGGGAATTGAACCGTGATTGTGTGGTTCACAGACCCTCACTCAATCCACTGAGCTACACCAGCCAGGAAAGAGATAATCAAAGGGTTTACTTTCTTAATCCCCTTCCTTGGCCCCAGGAAAATAAAGAATCACAGGACCTTCTCCAGCTGATTAAACAGCCTCCAGGCCCCATGTTTGCGGGAAGGGCCCTGTGGGCAGGAGGCGGCCACTGAGGCCCTGCACCCGCCACTCACAGGCCGAACCTCCAGAGGCCACGCCCCGTGTCCACCAGCCCGACACCAGCAAAGCCTTTGGCTATTTCTGTGCCCTGGACAAAATTTAGAGTCACCCAGATGACCCGAGTCTATCTTGTTTCTGTCCAAAAAGCAGGACTGTGAAAGAACCCCTCTTCCTCCAGCCCAGAGCAGCTGTTAAGACAACAGAATCTTCTGACCTGTCCATCTGTCCTTCCTGCCCTCGAACTGTTCTCCAGCTCTGCGGGGCCCCAGGAGGGGCCTAAGCTGGGTTCTGCATTCCAGGACCCCCTGAGCTGGCCCGGCCCCTCCACTCGTCCTCCTGGGCCTTCTGG